ATATCAGTGTGAAATAATGTTCGGGGAACGTACGTAGGGTGAGTTCATGAACTGACAGTCTTGAATTTTCAAAGGCTAAACTCAGAATCCATAACCTAAGCACAAGATCTAGCGAGATAATTAACAAATTCAAGTATTTATTTCCTATTTCGATCGTTTGGGTCTAATCCATCGCACCTTAGAACCAAATTCCCCGATTTTAAATTTACTGTACGGCACCGATCGGAGTATATTGCGTCTTCTTGACATTCGCACGATAGATTTAGTGTGTCCGGGGATGGAACTAACTTCACTAAATCTCATGACATGCATAGAACCTGTGGGGCTATCAATCCTCCGAAAGTTTACGCTATCTAAATTTAGCTGCTCCGCCCGAATAACGTGACATCAAATCCAAATCCTCGTGATGACGTGGTCAGATTTTCGAGCAGAAGGAAATTTAATTATATTTACGTGAGCCTTGGGTGGTATTTGATCAAAATAACCAAGACAAACAGGACATCAAACAAATTTCGAATAAGTACTGAATATGGAAGGTGCATAATAATAAAAGTGATCATGAAACGACCGATATAAATCCTTCCCCAGACGATTGAAATTAATAATGCTATGAATAGTCCAAATCCTGTCAACTACCGCGAATTCGCTGGCAACGACAGAATCCTGAAGCTTTGACATAAATATCAAATTTGAATAACATCTGAGTGAGATGCAATTGCAAGGAATAGACACCAAACTTCAGTTCTAGATCTTGAAAGCACTTGAAAATCCATGAAATAGGAGGCTAGCATCATCAGGTACAAGCATACTCACAAAATTGTTTTCCTTAATTCCAGAGATATGGAATATTGGAGTTCGGGCGTTTGATGCCACTCGATGATATACGAAGCTATTGTAGTGAAGGCACGAATTTGTAAATGTTTTTATGACCGTGGCGCAGGCTGGATAGGCATGAGTTATCGATAATCGGAGATTAAATGAAGCCACAACCTATTTTCCTGCTCAAAGTTCGTTGACAGCAGTGAGACTTTCGTGGTTATATCAAAACTTGCAACCTGATCACTGGACTACGGGTGATCAATCATTTTCCTCAGCTCTTGCTCGCCCGAGTTATATGATTTCACGCTCTTTGACACTCATCGTTGGTTGCAAAACCTCCAAATAAGTTAACCTTATTGGGTCCCAGAATATCGTTCTTGGAAACTATTGAGGTGAATGAAGTTAAGATTGCCCAGAGCTGTGCCGCAATGCTTTCTGTATCTATGCAGTCATTGGACTGAAGAAAATACCAATTTCAATCAAACCACTCCATAATTTACAACTTCAAAAAACGCCACCAACACGCCAATTCAATATGTTTTGTAGCCGGGACGTGTCCTAGAAAGCTCGTAACGGACAGATAACTGCGATAGGTACGACTATCTCGTCCCAAAATGTTAGAAAGTGATTACTATTGTCATCAAAGGGTTTGTCCAACCGTCAGCTAACTTTCGCGAGTGCTAAGGTCCAGAGTCAACGTAAACTTCATGTCGTTTATTTCCGAGATTGCTCCTTCTCCTTGTCTTCGGCCTGTAGGACGTTGTTCTGCTGTAGATTGCAGTGCCAAACCGGCCCAGCTTCTCTTCGGTATGACATGGTTCAAGAAGACGGACTCTATTCTGGACTTTACTCGGTGTAAGAGAAGCAAATCTCGGGTGTTCAGCCGGTGGCTTACACAAGTGCGGCGAGGCGATTCAAATACAGAAGGTGCCATTGCTACTTCATTGTGCATATTTGAATCTTGAATAGTCTTTATTAGCGAGTTGCGAGCGACTATCAAGCGCCGGAGATTCTCAGAAGTTCATTCTGCTGATATGAAGTACCCTGCAGCCCAATCAGAGGTAGACGGGAACTTTCACTACAATCACAGCAAGGGGGCAAGTACAAGTGAAGATGTGTTGAACGGTTGACTGATTGGCCCTTTAATTCTGACGAGGTAGGGAAGACTTGTGATTTACTAGATATTTCCATAACTGCAAGCAATAGTACTAACAGTACGATATCGGGCTCATTTACAAGAGCTGCAGGTCGCGGCTGGATATGTAGGCTTTCTCCAAAGAAGGAACATCTCCGCGTGCTTCATGCAGTTATCGTATGCGCTGCGTCACATACATACACTTCTGCTCCAATGGATCTTACAGTTAGTTGCGCATTAACTTGCCTGTAGTTTTGTACTGACAGTCATGTTATTAATTGTGCAGTACAGCGTGGCATATTCAGACTTCTAGAGAGCTTGCGTATCTGTTCAATCTATAATCCACTGGCCAGTCTTGTGAGTATGTCATGCATATCGCCTTAAAAAAAGTAATTAAGCCTCTCATATTTTGCTCGTTTTTTGGGTGTATTCTATAACTTTACCGCGTAGTATTTCCAGGGTGGGTATTTTTACCCGCTTTCATACTCTCTCCACGAATCACATGCTCTGCGGTGACCCGACAGAATTTGGACCCCTCATTCGACTTCCTGTAATGGATTGGGCCCCGATTACCAATAACTTTCTTTCCTTTGGTAACGAACAAGTTGCAACAACCAGGATAATGACATCTTTGTCGCTTTAATTTCTACTATCGAAACACTCCAGATCAGATACGAGGTCCTCCTCCGCATTACAGCACTTATCATTGGCCATACTATTTAATATCGACAAATGCAGTGAGCGTTATAATTGAAACTCTATCAAGGCTCCTGAATAGTAGAAGCTAATTTTTATACTCATTAGTTCAGGAATAACAACTAGGGTTATTGATAAGGTATACACCTGGATAGTCGACAATTCCCCCCTTCACTTCAAAATTTAGCTACAAAATTGTTTTGCAATTCATCTCAAAGTATTGGTTACCAGTTGAGTAGTGGGAGATATGGTTGCATATTCCGCTTTGGGAAAAAAACAAGGCCTAAACTGGTTTGTTCATAACCTGATGGGATGCTTGCAACAATAGCATATTTTTGGCTATCACCGTATTAATCGGGCTTGAAACCCTTGTTGCACTTTACCCGAAGTAGCTGGGCCTGGCTCACCACATAATTTTTAAAGGCTGCAAAATCTAGGCGAGGTGTGAGTTTCTATCTTACATGGTTCTGTTTCTGTTTCCTATTGAAAGAGTCGGTCTTTTCCGGCCTTAGTCAATAATTTGTGACACATATGATGCTATGAAGAGCACTTGACCTTCTCGCGATGATAATCATGATCGCAAGTTGAAGTGAGGGTATGTTTTCTATTCATAATGTAATGGTAATTCAAAAATTATATACTCGTCTTTCCATACCTACACAGCGTAGGCTACGTTCTACACAACCCCCAGACCAAATCGATCCATCATCTCAATTCCCAGCAACTTCAACAAAAGACCCAAATACCAAAATCAAATGCACCACCCAGCCTAGAAAGCGAGTCACCTATACAAGACTCTCAAGAACCTCTCCTCTCTCCCTCAACAAGTCCAACACCGGCTGGAAAAGCATGCCTTCCACTCCCGCCCACCTCCTAGTCTCTTCCAGCCCTACCCACTCCCACTCACCATTCTTCTCTCCCTCCAGATTTCTCGGTCCTTCTCCCTTTCCATCCCAAGTTCCTACCATCCAAACAGCCACATAGTGTCTCCCCTCCAGCCCTTCCTTCCCATCTCTCCTGGGCCCCGCTTCCATGAGACTATTCGTCGCGGTAAGAAATTTCATCCTTTCTTTCTGGAGTACGAGTCCTGTTTCTTCAAGGACTTCGCGGACAGCACATTCCTCAAGCGTTTCGCCGAACTCGAGATGTCCCCCTGGATTAGCCCATTGGTCGTGGCCGTGGGGAACCAGTCGTTTGCCCATTAGGAATAAAGGGTTTGAGGGGGTAGAAGAGGGGTGCAGGATAAAAACACCAACGCCAACGCGGACCTTGTTCTTGGAGTCGGACATGATGGATAAGTGGTTTAATAAAATCTAGATTTTTTTCTGTCTAATACGCGAGCTTTGATTGTTGGTTCAAAATGTTGTGCGCGGTGTGGTAGGTGCAGATACCTAGTTTGAGTGATGGCAAGAGAGATGAAAGACCAAGAAAGTAATATGAGTTCTTCAAGAAAGTACAACAACTCCGATGACTTAGACAATTGGAAAACTATAGCTAAGACTATCAACATTCCAACTGTTATATACTTTCAAAAAAGATTATCTGACGTCATCCGACTCCAGATCTTAGTAGAGTCTCGTATAGTAGTAACCTATGACCGTGTTTGGTTCACTACTAGTCATCGATCAAAATACAAACTGAACATTTCATATTAAACTAATTGAGGCTATCTACAGATTATTCACCAATCCAATTCCCAAAGTCAGTGTGAGACCGTCCTGGTTTTCTGTTGTGGGGGCGATTACAAGCATGAAGGATTGATTACATAACATGCGAGATGATTACTAAAGAGATATCTTCATCAATACGATGGGTAATGATGTCAACATGGCGATCTGAAATTTATATAAAGTCAATACACGATCCAAATTAAGCCAGCAGGACTTGGCTATGTGTTTGTGGACAAAACCTTTCAGCTGAGCTTGTCTAAAGGTTTCAGAACAACACGGTCTCAACTTGAGCTATGAACATAACCAATTGCTTCTGTTCTTCTCGAATAGAAGCGGCAGTACAACTATCAAAGCCTCCTGACATATACATTCACGAATTTCGTCATGTATAAATACCATTATCCGGTACTGCTACATTTCGACTCGGAACCATCATGAACTTCTCTCAGGCGCTATATTGCATTCATCACACAATGCCTATCTCAACTGACGACTATATGTGCTAGTGTGGCACTATAAATGCTTTACTCCCGTTTGTAGATAAACTGGTTATCGGATCAAGCTAGACTTTGCTACGACACAGCCTTCGCTTGATCTTCGCTCGATGACTTCCGCATGTTCTATCACATTAATGCCGCGGTGACGGCTAGCTGCATGGCAGCCGCGTCTTGCCACGCCAATCAAACTTCATCCTTGTGGCATTTTGATTTAGGCATTTGGTTGACGAAAGATGGCTTAGCCCTCTGTCAATCGCCAATTTCTTTCCGTTTGCCTGATCTCGTTCCCTTTGTGTAATTCTCACCTCGATCACCGAAGACTCGCATTCACAAATACACAAATTCAGAACATCAACGAGACGATAGTTCTTGGGAGAGGTAGCGCAAGAATTTGTGACTATTGCCAGTTGGTACACAATAGGGTTTCTGAATGTCAAGAGTCTAACAAGGACACCATAACTGAAGAAGCTCATGTTGCCTTGACTGCGAGGTAAATCACAAGACAATCCCCTCCCACTTACAAAATCTATCCCCTAAGTCTACAATTGAGACCGATGTTTCTTAGACAATCAGTCTGCGCGCTAGTAATCGATGGCAGAATCGTTAGAACTGCACAATTATGCTCTGCATTGAATTGACTTACATTTAAAAGACATTTTTCTTCAGGCCAAGCACGGCATTGATGTTGCCTTCCTCTTTGATCTCTATCCGGGGTTGTTTTTCTTATTGGAGACGGGTGCGCTCCCAAGATCGAGAAAACCGAGCTTAGACGTTCTGTAGCAAGCTGCTTGTTTCTCGATGCCCTTCCTGTACGATCCACCTTTGAACCCAGATGGTCGGTCGATTCTAGAGCTGGAATAGAATTGAAAGATGCTATATTTACGACATCATCAGGCGTTGAGAGCGAACTACAATTTGAAGGCGTATTCATCTCATTCCATTTGAGTTCTTGTGTATGAACCGACGGCTTAATGGATGCAGAGAAAGCGTTATTCGATGGTGCCTGTTGCATGATAGGGATTCCGCCACGATCCAATGGAGCGAAGAATTGAGTCCTGTCCGGTTTTGGAATTCCCAGCCCGGGGTGATACGAAGTATTTCCTTGCGGCACATGTATTCCAGGATCGTTTGGCATGTTCGGTTCCGACCTCTCTATAGAGTCATCTAAAATGCTAGGTCCTCGACGATCGATACAAGCGACTTCAGTATCAAGCGATTTGTCTGGTATTCCTTGATCGTTCAGAGTTGTTAATAGCTCAAACCTTAAACGCAAGTTATCGACTTCTTCTTTGGGGTTGCGGTAAGACGTTGTTCCTGCAATAACGCGCCCTTTACTAGCACAACCGTGAATATACCATTCGCCGGCAAGCTTCAGTTGACCCAATGCAAAGTAGACATCCCCCAACTCGCACATAGATTGCAATGTGGAGGAGTGCTTGGGCCCGAGAAGGGCTTTTCGCTTCTGAATTATGGTATGATAGTATTGTTCCGCTTCTTGGTGTCGATGCTGAAGCTTGTAGACTAAAGCTATATTTGCCTTCAGATATAGCGCTAAGCCATCCTCTCCTCCACTGCCCGGTATTTCCAGTTTTTTGAGTCCCTCTTTGAACAATTTTTCCGCTTCCAAGAAGTTCCCTCTTTTCATAGCAACCTCACCCAAATTATTTAGTGACTCTATCACAGTCTTATGGACGGGACCGTTAAGGTTTTGATACCCTATCAAGGTTCTTTCGTAAATTTCTGTCGCAGCATCAAAGTGCAATTGTAAAACAAGGAGGTTTGCAAGGTTGTTGGCTGTGTTGAGCGTCCGTGGATGATGCGGACCAAGCATAGTATGCTTGATTTCTAATGCTTGATGAAGTAGAGGCCGAGCTTCTTCCAACCTTCTCAAATCGAGATACATAGCCGCGAGGTTATTCATAGTACTAAGAGTCGCAACGTTGTTTGTTCCCAACAGTGAAATTTGCATGTCAAGCGAATGCATGAACAGACGTTCTGCATCATTGTTTCTATCATGCTGCCCATAAAATGTAGCAAAAGTGGTTTGAAATCCTTCGATGACGCCTCCGTATTCTATAATGCTCTGCTCATCAGTCAAAAAAGATAATTTGTTCTCGATACAGGCATCGATATGTGATAGCAGCTCTTGTCGTTTATGCAGGGAAAGCAGTTCTATGTCCGTTTCCTGAATAACAGATGCTGTTAATGCGATCGCAAGGCTCACACACGCCCGGCGTCTCTCTACAGATTCTCTAAGCTGCAACCAATCCTGAGATTTATCAGCTCTTTCTTAAACGTGTTGTCGAAAACAAAAATACCTTTACTAATGGGTGGAAAGAGAATCGAACCTCATCGCTCGTGATCTCCATATTTTGAATAATTGAAAGATTTACAAGGCCGACAATAACGTCTTGGAACTTGAAAGAGTCCCAAGACCCCTGGGTAGAGAAAAGAGGCTTCCATCCTGGAGACTTGTCATTGTAGATATCGGTATTTTTGAACAGTGATTCACTGATACTCATTGGGCTGAAGTATGCAGCTTGGGCCAAGAATTCGCCAATTCGATTTCTCTCCTCATCATTGCCGGAGATCTGGTCAAAAGACAGCTCCCAAGTGGTAAGAACTGATAAATGCTCGGAAGTTTGTTGTGAATCACCCAAGCTACGTTTTTGGTATTCCCACAAAGACTGCGGAGTATCTTTGAGTATGAATTCCTTTCGCCGCTGAAAGTGGTCTGAAAACATGTGAAGCGGAAGATGGCGAATTGAGATGTAACCTGCTGCTTGATCAATAGCAAGCGGGAGGTATCCTAATTTCTTTACTATATCTCTTCCCTGATTTAAATCATCCTCAGACTTTGAGACTGAAGTGCATCTGGATGTCAATAACTGTACACTTTCCTCCTCGGTCAGTCCATCTAGCTTCAGGTGACTGCCAAGTCTGCCGCTTGATATGTGACGGCTTGTCACAATGATGGCGTTTTCTCTACAAGCGGCGTTTGGAAAATAGAATGGCAAATCACCGAAAGATTTTGGATCGTCATAATTATCAAAGACCAATAGCCATGGTTCCTTCCAATCACCCAAGATATTTTTCACAACTGATATGATTTCCTCGCCACCAACGAGAACTGCAGAACTGTCGATTGTCTTCAAAATTCTCTCGAATCCACGAGACGCGGATTTCCGCGATGACGCATCAATCCAAAATACACCTTTGTAGAATTTCATGTGCTGGTGACTATATTGTAGAGCAATCTGAGTTTTCCCTTGGCCTCCCACACCAGTAAGAACGACGATTGAAGGATCGTTGTGGCTAGCTTCTAATGCTGTTTGAATTCGATTCAAAACATCTTTTCGGCCAACAAAATTAGAAACTCTCGACTGAGGAACATCAAAGTAAGATTTTTTGTTAGGCAATGATGCTTCGGGTTTTGTAGTAATCTGGGTATGCACGGTAGAAAGGTGCAATGCGATAGTCGACTTATATTCTGCCAGAATACCGACTATCTCCCGCACTTTAGTATCTTTGCCAAAACTTCTGATTCCTTTCCAAGTCTTCTGGAATTTAGATGCTGTGTCACTAGGTGTCAAGTCTTTGATCAAGCCCTCCAGAGTTTGCAATTGACGAAGGCATCCTTCCAGGACACGAACCAATGCCTTTTCGGTCGGAGAATCTAGAAGACCACGATATTGAGAAGATCTCAAAGATTCGATGGCCGAGATAAGTAAAGGCAACTGGAGAGATAAGTCGCGAAAAGCAGTGTTTTGGCGATATGATTGAATACGATTTTGTATCTTGGTGCAAGCATCCACAACTGCTATGACATTGGAAGCAATTCCAAGAACAGCGATAAATTCAACTCCAGACATAGTGATTATTTCAGAACGAACACACTTGGAATCGAAGTTACATGAATCTGTGAAATATCTGAAGGACTCAAATGGGCTGGGGCTGAGATATGCAAGTTGAAACACAGCCACAGCCATAGGAACAAAAGCTACCAATGGGACAAAGTAATCATGGCCTTATCACTCATATAATAAATCCCGAAACCCGTGATGATTGCTGCGATGCTTCTCACTCGAATCCTGATATATGCTTTGGACATGCGCGATTACCTCTCTGATGTATGCCACTTGTAAGATCTTACCTCTTGAAGAGGGAGTATTTGAGCGAGGCCCATACCGGTACAGGATTGTTGAAACCGTCGCTTCGAGGTTGAAATCCCATAATGACGGAATGAGCTCGTCGGCTTCGAATGCAAAGTGAATATCGATTACATATAGTACCGGGTCAAATTTTCCCAGTAGTAATAAACCGTACTGTTGATATCAAAATCCGGTATGTTGGCTCTGATGGATATGCTAGCTGTTCCGAATGAGGTTTAACGCCCCCGCACGGATCTCACGATTTGTTGATGAAAGCTTGCCCAAATGTTGCTTCCTCTTATAGAAAATAAACGTCATTTCAGAGATGTAAATTTTTAACTTCATGAATTACTACTAGATACATTAATACATCAATCAATTCTATGCACATATAACTTTCTACTTTCAAACCCTTCTTTTCAACTTCTTGTCGATAGAGATAGAATTAATACACACGACTGACGCTCCTATGGCTTTCACCGGCGCCAGCCCCTCAGAGCATACACCTCTTCTCGACCAACAAGCTCTCAGTCCTACAAATACCTCCAAGAAAGCCCCAAGGAATGTTACCTTCAACGATAATCCAACTGTCAGGACAATTGGCTTGAACGAACCTTCACAATCACTTAGGACAAATGATTCCAATGAATATACACAATCGCCTAGAGCAACAGCCCCGTCACCACCTTCTCTCAATAGCAAACTTCGACGCCGAAACAGTCATGGATCCCTCAAGTGCCAATGCACCCAGCATCAAAGATAGGCCCTCAAAGAGCTAGTAAGATTACACAGAAGCTTAAGTATCTTCCAGATTTGGAGATTGGCGCAGATGGACCCGACGAAGAGAGCGGACGAGACGTTTATTCTCAATTTACACGAATCAAAGATCCGACAGCGCGTAGAGATGCTGCAAGGCTGGGGAAGGCCGATCGCGCTCGATTGCCTCGAGTGACTGCATACTGTACTGCTAACAAATACCAATTGGAAAATGTGATGCGCTTCCTAAATGGTCGGGGCAAGAAGACGAAGGGAGCAAACCCAAAATTGTTTGATGAGTGTATTTACACACCATTTAGATACGGTAAAGACCATGGAAAGACGCCTTCGGATCGGGACATGGAGGTACATAGTGCGCCGGTAAAGTTGACGGAGCGAAGACACTCGGATAGTGTTATTGAGGTGGAAGACAACAATAAACAACGTCGGGACGACCTCATAGACCTGCATACCAATGGCGGTGATGTTGCTATCAGCAATGGCGACCACTCTCCCGCTAACCATATTCTCCCAGAAATCGTGGAGCGACAAATGGAGAACGAGACCGAAGCTCTTATATCAGAAAGTAATCCCGACTTTGATACTCGAATTCATACACCCGAAGTGTTCCTATTTGGCTATGGTGTTGTGGTAATATGGGGTATGTCCAAAGAGGATGAGCAGCGGTTCCTCAAGGACATAGCGAGGTTCGAGAGCGGCAAATTCGCAGCCAACGATGTGGAAATGGAGTCTTTCAACTTCTATTACACCGTAGAGTATCAAGCTAGGATTTACAACGATTTTATCACCTTGAAGGACAAGAGAAATTATATGACCAAGCTAGCGATTTCCCACGGCTTGGCGCAAAGTGTTAAGGTATTTCGTCTTTGAATCCGATCTTCGTTAAGGTACTAACTATTTGATTCAGACCTCACTTTTTGAATCTTTAGTAGACAGCACCATCGACGAAAACAAAGACATTCCTACCCAAATCGCGCTGACAGGAGCTATTGACCTCCCACGAAAAAGAATCAACATGCAAATCGGCGAGCTCTTCATCCTGCGCATAAATATTCATCTTAATGGTTCAATTCTGGATACCCCTGAGTTGTTTTGGTCAGAACCGCAATTGGAACCAATATACCAAGCTGTGAGAAGTTACCTAGAAATGGATCAGAGAGTGAAGCTGCTGAATGAGAGATTGGACGTCATCGCGGACTTGTTGGCAGTTCTTAAGGATCAACTCAGTCACAGACATGGAGAGAAGCTAGAATGGGTTGTCATCGTTTTGATTGCTGTGGAAATTCTAGTTGCAGTTCTTAATATCGTCGTCGATCTGTCAGTCGGCGAATGATTTACAGAACTACGTACTCGCCTTCTCGACTACTTGGCTATGAAGATATTTGATTTGATGTTTGAATTATCCAAGTGTTCAAAATTACTTCTATGTTCCAGAGCATTTGAATTCCCAGAATCCTTCATTGTTGGATTGCAATGAAACTATCATTCAACCAACAGGTCAAGCTAGAAAGGGAGCAGAGAAAATTGTCATGGCGTACCCAATCACCACACAAAACATTCTACTGGAATATTAACATAATCGCCGCCTATCATTCCAATTTCTTTTACCATTGGAATGACATCCGAAATATTTGTACACAAAATTTGATCGTACGGAAACGCGGGCGTTATTTTTCTTTCTTTTCTATTCATTTCTTTGGGGTAGAACTTACAGGCTTGTACATAATAATTGCATCACATAGTACTTGAAGGACTGTGTGCGTGCATGCATGGCGTGGAGGGAAACAGGCGTTTTGATATTTGGATAGATGGGGACTTTGTATTTTGCGAGAAAGGATAGCCTTGAAGGGAGACTTGTATATGTAGATAGGGCGAGGTGTAAGAATGGAAAGGATTGAGTGAATACATTTAGGTTGTCTGTTGTGGCGTGATGTGATGTGTACTGTGAAGTGTAATGTAAAATGAGAGATTTTGGTTGGCAGTCTACTGCATTCTTCAAGAAGGATACCTAGCTGAAAGGAGTACCGTCTTGATACCTTCTTGAAAGCTTATACATGTTTGACGAGCCGAACACTTTCTGGTCTATTCTCGGGTATATCAAAGGGGGCATTTTCGCATGATCAAGAAAAAGTAAGATCGTATGAAGTTAATATTACACCAATAGAAGTGGACTACCAAATACACACGCAGATAGATATCTGTACGAAGGATTCCATCTCAGGAAAATCAAAAAGTAATTCTAATATTGCAAGCAAGCAGCTTGATTCATCTTCACGCACCCTAACGCCAAGTTTCGGATATTTTCGACCTTCCATTATCCCATTTGCATATCGTATTGACCCAGATCCTTTCCATTCCTCGACTGCCAAGTAAACTCCGTAGATTGTATCTAGCCTCTGTTCACAGATGTGAAGCCGCCAGCTCCGTTGGCTGCGTTGCCATTGGGTGTTTCTTCGCGACCGCTATCTCCCATTTCTACATCGTCATCTAAGGGGGTGCTGTTTTCGAGTTTCTTTGCACTTTGCATTGCTTTGAATAGATTCTCGTATCGTTCTGTGGTTGCAGCATCTGCTTCTCTCCATCCACTTGCCAAAAGACGATCGATGTCAAGGCTTCCTTCTTTGATACCACGTCTATGCTGTACCATCATGGGCCCACGCAATTCCTGGCAATATAATTCGAAGCCTGATGCAGGAGTTTTGGGTGGTCCAGAGGGGGGGATAGATGGAGAATGGGAGGCTGAGTGCGGCGTTCGGCCGCCCATGGGAGTAGAATTGGAGAGTGCGCGGCGAGGAGATATTGGTTGTGGATGGGCAAGGGAGGTATTGAAGCTATTAAATGTTCCTTGGCTAGGGTTACTAGGCATGTCGAGATGTGTATGAGAGAAGGAGGAGGAGGAAGGTGAGATGGCGAGATTGGCGTTTAAGCTGTTGGGCAGAGGAACGGTTGGATCACCGAGGGTATTTAGGAAAGAGGGTTTGCGATGACCACGCTTTGTGCGCAGTGGCTTTTCTTGAGGCTACAAATTTCTGTGTTAGATGTCTGTTTGCAATCAAAAAGAAAGGGACGCGGAAGAAGAGATACAGATAAACCTACTGTTGGAGGTGGACTTGGAGAACCCTCCGAGTCTTCCACATTTGTACTCGTTCGTTTCGACATTTGTTCTAACAAGAAGGCTCGCTCCAGACGCATCTTGTTAATTGCTCGACGCATTCGTGACAATCTGAGGCGCGCGGCATCATTGGCTTCTTCGACTTCATTCATTCGAGTCTTAAGTTGAATACATTTGCGTTTGTATGATTCTTCGACCGATGGAGGAAGGGTTGGTGGATTTTTTGATATTCCGTTGGACGCCATTTTGATTTTATGGTGGTGGTCCAACAGACAACGTCGAAGTTGTGCTTCGAAGGGGATCAACCACTATCCTGAGCTTCACAGTAATGCGACACCTGAAGTCCCGGAATTGATTTGGTAACGGCGATTGATCTGATTAAAACGTGGTTGAAGGAGATATGTCGGTGGTGAAGCGCAATCTTGAACGTTGATATTAGCACTAGATTCGTTCCACTACCTGGATTTGGGGTCCTTTTAATAGCTATGAAGCCTTATGAATGGATTAATACAATGTACGTACTACTGAAGCTGATAAATTGATTGTGTTGAATTTTAACCTTGGATTTTGCGCAAATTCGATGATTGTTCTGATGAGTTTTGTATGATGAGAATGTCTGTATGGTTTTGTAGTATTCGCGTTGGTTGTCTCAAATTTAAGCTTCACATCGCATCTCATTCTTTGGTATGAAGCTATTCAAGTCGGGTAAACTATGGCATGACAGCTCCTGGGCATGCATCGAAAATTATTGATGCCTCACAAAATAAGGCCAATATCCACGCTTCCTCCACCAAAAAAGGCAGATAGACGCGACTTTTTTCCCTGAGCAGGAAGGGAAGGATAATATCAACGCAAGAGATCTTTCTACTGAACACATTTCAAGATGTCTCTCAATATCCCAAATGCCCCAAACTCTAACCTTTTCAAACAAGGTTACCAAAAGTAGGAGTTTCTCCCTAAATTCTATACAAAATACAAAAGCTAACCCCCTCCAAAGCTATGATTCTGAAGATGGAGCAGTTATTCGTAACATCGATGCATGCCGGACTATTGCTTCAACAGTTCAAACTTCTTTAGGACCTTATGGACGAAACAAGATTGTCATTAACCATCTGCAAAAGATGATCCTCACATCAGATGCCGCAACTATCCTTCGAGAACTCGATGTTGTCCACCCGCAGCAAAGCTTATCGTCATGGCCAGTCAGCAACAAGAAGCCGAGATGGGAGATGCTACAAACTTAGTCATTGTGCTTGCAGGAGAACTCTTAAAGAAAGCTGAAGACCTGTTAAGAATGGGATTAAAAACCAGTGATATAGTTATAGGTTACGAGCGAGCACAAAAGTTTGCTTTGGAAGAGTTAGAGAACTTAGTGGTAGACAAAGTAGAGGATATGCGATCGCAGGTCGAACTCAGCAAAGCTATTCGAACTGTTATTGCAAGCAAACAAAACGGCAACGAGGAATTCTTAGCAAACATGGTCGCCGAAGCTGTTTTGGCCGTTCTCCCAAAGAATCCAATCAACTTCAACGTCGATAACATCCGAGTCGTTAAGATTATGGGAGGAAGCTTAGAACAAAGTAGGGTTGTCAAGGGTATGGTTTTCGGTCGTGAACCAGATGGATCAGTCAAGAAGGCCACCAGGGCAAAGGTCGGTGTATTCTCATGCCCAATCGACATCAGTCAAACAGAAACCAAGGGTACCGTTTTATTACATAACGCCAAGGAGATGTTAGATTTCACAAAGGGAGAAGAGAACCAGTTGGAAACTGCCATCAAAGAGCTTTACGATTCCGGTCTACGAGTCGTTGTTGCTGGTTCTACTGTAGGTGAACTTGCCATGCATTACCTTAACCGCTTTGGTATTTTGGTCATCCGCATTCTCAGCAAATTCGAACTCCGAAGATTATGTAGAGTCGTCGGTGCTACTCCACTAGCTCGACTTGGAGCACCAATGCCTGATGAGATGGGAAGTGTTGATATTGTGGAGACCCTCGAGATTGGTGGAGATAGAGTTACAGTTTTCAGACAAGAGAACGAAACCACCAAAACTGCCACTTTAGTTCTTCGAGGAGCAACAATGAATCATCTTGATGATGTCGAGCGTGCTGTTGATGATGGTGTCAACGTCGTTAAGGCCATCACGAGAGACCCAAGACTTGTACCGGGTGCCGGAGCTACAGAAATTCAATTGGTTGAGAGGATACAAGCATTTGGTGACAAGACTCCTGGTTTGGCTCAATACTCCATTCGCAAGTTTGGTGAGGCTTTCGAAGTTATTCCAAGAACCATTGCAGAAAGTGCTGGTCTTGACGCCACAGAGACATTAAGCAGACTTTATACTGCTCACCACAAGCACGATAACTGGAATACGGGTGTTGATATCGAGGTAAGTCCTATTTGTACCATTTTTTTAGACTTATACTAATTTTGCAATAGAACGAGGATGATACCGGAACTCTTGATGCAAAGCAAGAGGGTATTTTAGATCTTATGATTTCAAAGAGTTGGGCTATCAAGCTTGCTACTGAGGCCGCAAGAACTGTGCTCTCTGTTGATCAAATTATTGTTGCTAGACAAGCTGGTGGACCAAAGCCTCCAGGACCAAATCCTGTAAGTTCACAATCTTTCCATTGACGATGATCCTCACTGATTGTGATAGAACTGGGATGAAGATTAGATATAATGCATTAAAAGCGCGTGGGAATGTAAAATACCAAGTCGTCATGAATTATGAAAGACAATTTACGATGTCCAACGAATCTTCTGATTTGTCCATGATTTACTCTGCCAAGCTTTTGAATTCTGTGCTGTCTAAACCTGTTATGCAGTACTATTTCATTTCAATGCTAACCAAAGCTTCAAGCGCTATAACATGAAGTAGAATTGCCTCCCAATTTGATCTCCGGCTTCGAGAGATGTTAAAAGAATTGGCGAACGAATGAACCGCCCTTGCGATTAGACACCCCAGTCGTCTGATTTGACGTGCAGGAGCTAATGCCAGGGCCGCCAAGCTCGTTTCGACGGTCATCTGAAATTGAGGGCGTGTGTCAAAATCTTTTTCAGGAACTAACCAGAACAAATCCTCCTTCTTTCCAAAATCATAAACCATCTGAAAATTAAACTCAAAACAAAGATCAGATGAGCCCTCATCATTTGACGAATGATGAGATCAATCAGTGCAGATCAAACGGATTCTCCCGAGACCTGACCCGAGACTTGACCTCCTAACCGCCAAATAAAACGGCTACACGGGAACAAGATTTGCGACGCGTGTGGTTTCATTACTTGCATGTTTGCTTAGGTGAAGTTGATATTCAGCTTATTCTGTGTTAAGGATAGCCCTAAGAAGACTTCTTGGTAAAGTCCTAATTACCAAGTATCTTTGCTTTTAAAATTCATATGCTGTGACCTTTGACAAGAAGTGTTTCGAGGACGGCTGGTATAATGTTACTCAAGTATGTAAAGTTGATATATACCATCGTAAGTTTTCTGCTTCATTGCACATCACAAAGTTCAATTGCGATTATTTCTAATTTCTTACTTTCATTACTATCTCTTCTCCTTTCATTCTCTATTTCAAAAACTCCCTTCCTTAAACTGTTGAGCAGTCTTCCATTCTTTTCAACAAGTGTACGAGATAATTTATACTTCTTGCCATCAATCATTTTTATCTATTATATATCAACCCGTAATCATGTATCTCTCCATTTCATTGTTACTTTTAGTAACACGGGGTTTTGCTTCCCCGCCTTTCTTAAGAGAGTTGTCGCTTCTCTTGACCAGACTGCCTTTGAGGAAGCACAACAACGGGACGATACTGCAACAAGAGCTTTCACATCGGTTCCAATCACAGTATGGTCTTCTTCTGCTTGGGCTTAGTTTCTTAGGTGCTAATCAAGATGTAGACTTCCGAAGGGCAGTGTCTCTTCGTGGATGAACTTTCCGGTGACTTCAGAGCGAACTTGACACCAATTCAAATAGCTGCCTGTGATGGCAGTACAGGGCAGCTTTGGGATGTTCTTACGAGTGGAACTCACAACAATGTGGCAGGTAGTATGCTAGTTGTCAATACTTTGGTGGGCAAAATCAGGCTTTTTTTTCGTTTCTTTCAAGGACTAATGAATCTAGACCCAAGCTTGTTTAAACTTTGATCCTCGCCGTGCGGCGGGCAATACCGTCATCATGTTCTCTTGCGGTGGTCGTGCTGACGGAGGTACGTATTATTCATTGCCTTTGCTCGTCAGGTTCTTACTAACCTGAATTAGATGGGCTTGTCACAAACTCCCAGCTCTTTCCATTCAATGGAACTTCCGGCCCACTTACTTTTTCTCCCGAGAATGCCCCAGGCACCTGTTTATCTGTTACTGCTGCAAACGTTCTCGATCAGGCTCCCTGTGATGAATCTGATTCTAGCCAAACATTTACTTTTGGTGCCCCAAGCGCCTCCGCCGATCCAGCAATCACTAGCTCTGTTGCGCCAGTGGCCTCAAATGCAGCAGGTGTTTCATCGTCGACTGTCCTGATATCTTCAGTAGCCACGTCTTCATTGCCTTCTCCTGCTTCTCCATCATCAGTGGCTGTCACTGCAGCTGCTTCTGCTGTACCGACAAGCGATCCAACGATCCCTCATCCCGTATCCCGTGCTGGAGGTGTACTCGATCCTTCTGCCGCAGCTGAAGCCAATGAAATGGATAATACCGCCGTAAAGGCTTTTTCGTCCGTCGCTTTGAAAGATGCATCTGGTCAATGTCTATTCGTTGATCCAACTGCGGGCGACTTTAGACAGAATTTGATTCCAATCACTCTACAAACATGTGATGGAAGTCAAAATCAAGCTTGGGATATTGTTACAAGTGGAAAGCATAATAACGTGGCTGGTTCGGTGCTTGTAGTTAGCAGCTTGGTGAATAGTCTTCTTCACTATGAACAGTCGTCGCAAGATGCTAATAATTCTGGACAGACTCAAGGATGTCTTAACTTTGACCCGAGAAGAGCTGCTGGCGATACAGTTATCATGTTCTCTTGCGGGGGAAGAGCCGATGGTGGTATGTATTTCCGAAATTGTTTTATATCACTAGAAGAAACGCTCGCTGATATTTTTGAAAGATGGTTTGGTCACAGACTCGCAACTATTCCCTTTCATAGAAGGCGAAACAGACATTTTACTTGCCCCTGAAAATGGAAATAATGCAACTTGTCTTGTGGGAAATGCTGATGGAAAGCTAGACTCTGCTGCTTGTGCTGGTGACGCTACAAACCAATCATTCACTATTTTGACAGTTTAGAAGCAATATATTTTTGGTATGGTTACATTGAGGTCGTTTTCCGCATCTGGAGTATTGCGAGACGGTTCTCAGGGAAAAGTTTCAGGAGTTTGTTAAATGTTCATTTGATTGGAAGCAAAAAAATGTATCGTATAGGCAGAGTGTCAGATCCTTGAAAAAGTCGGCGGTTATTCGCGTACTGCTCGCAAATATGTGATTATTTTTGTTGATTGGCCGGTCTATCAATTACGCGGCTCTGCTACCCCCATAAGCAACTATTAACAATTATAATTGCTGCTCTTGTTGGTCTGCAGCAATAACTTCGTTAATTTTTCAATGCCTTTAAGCAGTTCATTTTCTCTTTTATTTTGGCGAGTAAGATTGTCTGCTTTTGATGTAATCTCAGCAATTAGTGCATTCAGATCAAATTCCGCTGAGCATAATGAATTTCTCAGATTGCTTCGTGAGATCAATGAAGAGCTTGCCGATAGCCATTCAGTCTTCAGCACATTCACACCCAACAAACGTCATGCTCCTCGACCCGAAAATCTACGGTGGTACGAAAACACCTACTCTGGGCCCAAGAAAACGCTTTCTACCGAACTACCATCTTCAAGACCTGCCTCGCCGAACGAGGGCAAAGAACCGCAGGACAGAACAACTGAATCTCATGAAAATGATGTTCGATCTTATAAGTATCTACAGAAATTATCTGAGGGTTTGACATCTTGGGGTTATCCACACTCAGCTACACCATCCATCGATTCTGATGAGTTAGGTTTCTGCACGAGAATACTTACAGAATCTATTGGAGGAGCTTTACACATCCCATCCGATGGTCATATAATACTCCCTCTCACCATACGAGGAATGCATGAGTCTATCAGAATGTGTGGTGTCAATTTCAGGGAGCCAGAACTGATCAGGAAACGGCTCCTTGAACCACTCTAGACAGCTATAGGATCATTTCCGCATGATCTAAACACTTTGAACGTCCAATTCTTAGTTCCATCGAAAGCTAAATCTCAATGGAGGACTGGACTAATTTTTGGTGACAGCCCTGAATCCGCTCGCCATCTGAGGTTATCTACCCTTAGCGTATGCACCTCATATTTTTCCATCTCAGGTCATTATTTATTACTAATCTAAATTCTCAGGTCTCAACTTTTACCTCTAACCAGTCTGGTGATTTTGTCACCCGATTTCCTTCTGGCCCTTTTTCTTCATTTTACACAATTCTTGTACTAGCTCCAGATAAGTCCTATATCGACAGGGAGTCAAAATTCATCTTGACATCCGATACAGCGGTTCAAGTGGAGCTGGAATGCATTGAACTAGCGCTTTCTGATGTTATTAAGAGATGGAGGGGGCTAGATGATCCTTTCCGCGAACTTTTGGAAGGAAATTTCTTAGACATTGAGCAATATTCCAGTCTACTTTTTGACGACGAAAAATTCACGCGTTCCCGAAAGTATTTCTGGGCTATTGGCTTACTGACAGAAATTGATAATATCTTATCTGATAACATCAAGCAATGGGGCTTATACTATCAAGGGCGCCTACAACCATTACTGGATGACAGAGATATAATACACCGATTTGATTCCGGATGTCTGTATCCACCAGCAGTCTGGGAAACAAACAGAGGTGACAATATGCTCAAGCAGCTCAAGAAAACAATCCAACAAGTGCAAACACATATAAACACACTCAAAGAACTACGCAATGATTTCAGTAGAAAGTTGGAAACCACAAAGGCTTTGAGAGATGGGGTAAGTTGATATTTGTTCCAGCAAATTCATGAGTTATAGATCCAGAATAGTCTCTAAAACTATAATCTCTGAAATAGCTATTTAATGCCATTGCATTGATTGAGAGCAGGGCGTCTACGAGGCTGGGAGAAAACGTCAAACTTTTGACGTATGTCAGCATATTTTATTTGCCTCTCGCTTTCTGTGCGGTAAGTGCATTATTTACATTGATCTCCTCCGTTATTCTCACATATCTTAGGTGCTCTGGGCTATTCCAAACATTCAGGAAATCTCTACGAAAGTGCCATTCATCATCACAGCGTTCATCGTGGGCGCAATAACTTATGCAATTGTCCTTAACATAGAATTCATATCGCAAAAGATTGACGCCAATTATAACCCCCATCGACAGAGATTGGTCGACCATATGCAGAAAGATAGTAGTGTATGGTCGCAAGAAACCGGAAAGAGATTCGAAGTGTTCAAACCAACAAGCGAAAGTAAGGTTCCCACGGAATGGTGGATACCTATCTATTTGATAAGGAAAGTCTTTCAACGTGGCTTTTCTACAAAAAGAGCAAGTATAGAAGCCGAGGATGATTCTCTTGTATGGTCCAGTTCCAGTTCCCAGGACAATCCACCTAAGGACGGCCACAATAGCTTCAGACTCAAGAATATGTTTGCGAGGTTTCGCAGGGGCAGAGAATTGGAGACACCCCTGTTTGATCTTGTTTATGTGCCTTAACTCACATACATTTACTTTACTGGCGATGGAACTTTAGACGTGGATTTTGGTGGATACTCATTGGCTGGCAATTGCCGTGCTGCGCCACATGCATCTATTCACATCTTTCTCGCGACAAATGTTTGCCTCCGACATGCCAGGCAGAATCTTCGACCATTCGTTTCTATTCGATCTAAAATCATGGGTTTTCAAATACTAACCGCGTCTTCGACTGCTTTTCTGATACTTATATCTATTTTCCTCATGCGTCGCCTTCTATTCTCAACGCGGACAGACAATCCAATCTTCCCAGAAATCACGAGGATCAGCAAGACTCTAGCAGCCGCTCTGCCTGAAAGCGTTATTCTACCACAAAGTATCACTACTTTTAACAAGGCAGTGAATGGCTACTGGGCAAAGCAAGAATGTGAAGTAAATCCATCATGTATTGTTCGTCCCCGCAATGATGAGGAACTTTGTACAGCCGTCACTATAATTAAACGCGAGTATGATGAACGGATGAAGAAAAAGGTTAGTGGAGAGCATAAATCCGAGGGATTGTTCGCTGTCCGTAGTGGCGGCCATTCTTGTGTTGCTGGGGCTGCGAGTATTGAAGGAGGTGTTCTTATTGATCTTAGTTGTTTTAACGAGGTCATACCTTCTGAGGGAAATGATGAAGCGAGCGTGATTATTGGAGCAGGATGTAGGTGGATGGATGTTTCAAAAGTTTTGGATGAGATGGGGGTTGCTGTTGTTGGTGGAAGGAATTCTGCCGTGGGAGTTGGCGGGCTGACTTTGGGTGGTGAGTTTATGATCATTTGATATATGGAGCGGTTCTTTAATATTTCAAAAACAGGCGGCCTCTCATTCTTCTGTCCTCAATTTGGTTTAGTATGTTCCAACATAATCAGCTACGATATCGTCCTCGCATCAGGAACCCTTACCACAGCCTCGGCAACCCAGAATCCCGATCTCTGGTGTGCCCTCAAAGGAGGTTCTAACAATTTCGGCATCGTTACTCGCTTTAAGGCCCGTAGTTTTCCCAGTACCAAAATATGGAGCGGCTTTCTTTACATGCCTAGTTCTCAAACGAGCAAAGTCATCTCTGCCTTTCATGAGGTTGTGAATCGAGTTGATTGGGATCATCATGCTGCTGGTCCTTTGGCATGTTTTACATATATACAGCCATTAGGCATTCAAGCTATATCCGTGAATCTAGTATACACGAAGCCTTCCGAGAATAGATGGCCAGAATATTGGAAAATATCACCTTTTTCATCGATGAGGCGTTTTTGGAGCACGTGCAAACTGCGCACATTGACAAGTACGACCGATGAAATGAATGCTTTGAATCCACCTGGGAAACGCCAGGTACTCGCTACGACAACTATCAAGAATGAATTCGCTACACTCACTGCTACACACGCTGTGTATCAGGACGCCATTTCTTCACTGCGGGGTGTGAAAGGCTTAGTCTGGACGCTGGTTATGCAACCATTATTACCGGATTGGGTGCGCAAGGGTTGTGCGAACCCACTGGGACTACATAATACCAATGAACCACTCGTGATCGTAAGTTTTACTGTAAACTGGCCCAACAATCGACATGACGAAGTGGTGAAGAAAACTACACGGCGTGCAATCGAAGAGATTGAACATATTGCAAAGAAGAATGGAACCGGTCATAAGTGGAAATATCTAAATTACTGTGCGGAGTGGCAGAGACCATTTGATGGATATGGAGAGGAGAATGTAAATTTTTTGAGGGATGTTAGTCGAGCATATGATAGTGAGGGGTTGTTTCAGAGGGGTTGTGTGGGAGGATTTAAGCTTAGACTTCCTGTTGATGGTGAGATTAAGAGATGATCAGTCCTGAAGATTACTTCATTTGATCGAGGGCTTTAGATAGATCACATGAGCGTATAGATATATCAAAACACATGCCAATCTTCTTAGACAAAGTTCATTCTCACCCGTGTTGGGATTTGCAATAGCTCAGACCTCAGTCCTATAAATAAGGAACTTCAATCCTTGAGTCCAATCAAATCATTCAAATCGCTTAAACTGTTGTATACACTATAGATATTGAATTCTTCTTAGGTGTTGGAAGCTTAAATTCAGTCTGCTGGTCTGGACCACTAGTTACCTACTTTGCTTTACAGTCTTGGTGAGGTTGTACTCACCGGTCATGTCAAGCAAGTTAGATATCATATCGATCGCCGCAGGACTAGACCAAAGTATAACTCATCACCCTGCAAAGTCAGTGGCTTCTCGTGCCACAATTCACTTTCTTGAGATACCGCAGGAGGTATAGTCACTGCTAAGTTGTAGTGCTAACAAAAACCTTTGAAGATCCCAATATTAATCACAACAGTCAAATACACTCAAAACAACACTCGAAGCAAAAGTGACATTCATCATATATATTGCAGTCACCTGATCGTCTGAAATGCGACCATACTAAAGTATAGGTAGAATAATAATACAAATCCAAACAGCCAACCACTCATCATCTTTCCTCGCGCAAAAAAATCCAAAAAACAAATTCCGTACAAAACTCAACAAAAAGTTCCAAATGCTAAACAAACAATGCAAGTACCACATCCCGCGCGTCAAAATGCCAACCATGTCCAGATATTTCCATTGCTTTTTACCGTACCATCATTGCCAGGTCATTCCATCAAAGATATAAGGAAAAGTGGTATATGTATCCATATGCATGTGCCAATACATTTCTGAACGTCATACTCTTCGAGTGAATTCTACTCCAGATGGGAAAGGAGAATTTACTCGCAAGCAGACCACCAGTCGTCAGTCTTAACACACTTGGAGCCAGTTGCACACACAGTGGATCCGGTGTATCCTTCACCTCCGCACTGGCTCCATTGTGGAACAGCTCCGGAAGCGGCAGTGGCGCTTGCACCGGCAGATGAAACGGTAGTTTGTTCATCAGCAGCCTTGGCGGTGGTAGTAGCAGCGGCCTTAGCGGTAGTGGTAGCAACGGCCTTGGAGGAGACAACGGTAGACTTGACTTTAGTGGTAAGGGTGGTTGGGGCAGGGGTGCCGGAAGCCTTGGCAGTAGTTGCTGCAGCAGAGGTATTGGCAGAGCTAGTAGATCCTGAAGCAGGGGCGCCTCCAAGTGCTTCGTTGATGTTGGCAAGGTAACCACTGTTTCCAATGATGGTCACCATATCCCAAGACATAATACCACCGAAGCTCTTGAAAGTCTTGGAGTAAGTGATAACATCAGTAAGAGTGGCTTGGTCAATGTAACCTGTGGTGGCGGCGCTGGTGCTACCTGGGATACCGACGAAAACCTTAACATTCTTGTTCTTGGAAGTGGTTGAAGCCCATGTATCCCATGTGGCCATGTTAAATTCGCTTTGAGTAGTGCTTCCCTTGACGAACTTGTCAAGACCACAGTTATTGTTATAGAATTGGACAAAGACAGCATCGAAAGAGACTGCACCTTGAAGGAAGGACTTGTCGGCTTGATCTGGGTAAGGACATTGTGGGGCAGCAGTCAAGTAGTATTTCTTGCTAGTCTCAGCATCCGAAAGAGTGCGGAGTTCTTGAGCGAAGACGTCCAAGTTGGTAAGACCTTGAGTTTCGATATCAAAATCGAAACCATCAACGACAGCGTCACCGAATGGTCGAGTTGTGGAGGATGAGGTTTTGGGACCAAATGCAGCCCAGACATTCTTGGCGGCAGTAGTTGCGGCATCAGCACTTGCGAGTTCGTTCTCGGTGTAAGTTGCTCCTCCAATGGAGAGGAGAATTGTCTTACCCATACCCTGGCAAGTGACGATATCCTTTGCGACTTGAGCGGGATCTGCGTTTCCGACATTGACAGTCAACTTGTTGAGAGAGATCAAGAAAGCAATGGGGATGATCCCAAAGCCAGCATCTGTAATGGCTTGTCAGCGTTTTGCCTTATGTTTTTTTAAGAAGAAGAATGATTGTAAAGTCTTACTTGAGCAGTATGATGCAAGTGTCCCTTGGTTAGGACCTTGACCCCAGTAGATGGCAACACCGTTAGAAGAGGTGGAACTAAAGCCAGCAAAGGCAGATGGAAGGGCTGCGAGCATGCTCGCAAACCCGATGAGACTTTTTGTTGAGTACATGATGAAATGAAGTAGAGAATAAAATAACTAAATTCAAATTGTAAATTGTAGATTGTAGATTTCAAATGAAGGTATGAAGGAAAGTGATGGGATAAAAACCCGAAAAGGAAATAAATGAATGTGAGTAGGAAATGAATGTGAGTAGTTGTTGTTGATGATGCTTTACTTTCCAAACCGGAAGAGCATACTTATATAACCTCATCTTGAGACCGTTGAATAGATTCCTCATTTGGTGAACCTCAAAGGCCTCCCGTTGCGAAGCATTCGTTTACCATGAATAGAATGATAATGAATTGCGCCTTCTTGGAGCAGCTTCGGGTTGCAGTAGGATCATTTCTGAGATGAAGTGCGAATCCTATGCCAAGCCACCCCAATCAGTACACACAAGCCTTGAACTCCTTCATGAAAAATAATATGGTCTGTCCATAATTTGTCGAACGAGATCCATGAGCCTTCCTGAAGCATTAACATCATCAAACCTCGGAATTTAATGACCGTTAGCAACACGCGGGGCCAAAGGATATATTGAGCTGATTCGTCTCTCACGAACGTGTTCGTACGGTTCATTGGCATCCTCCGCCCAAACCTGCTGGTCAACATCTAATCGACCCGTGTCAGTTGGTAAACGTGCCGGTTAGCATACGTGCCAACAAGCAAAAATTCGTGATCTTTAAAGACTCTACTATTTGGAAATTTCTTAAAAGTCATAAAACCTTTAGACCACTTATAGTATATAGTATTTGAGTTAGCATTGTGACATGGCCGTGGCCAAAGTCCCAGATGCCGATAGCCTACTAGCTAGTCTAGAGCAATACATCAACCGTGTTTGCGTAATCTTTGAATAGGATAAATAGAAGATGGAATCAAGCAAAGTCCTCATTTGGAGTCGATATCGACAAAACCAGAAACTTATTGCAACGTTACCAGGTTCCTGTCATCGAGTTTGAAATTAAGGACTTGGACACTACGGCAGGGGTCGTAACTGATAACCCATATAACATCTTACAAATGCATCCAAGAAAAGAAATGCTATCTGCAGAATCTTGAGTAACACTGCATCTCATCTCATAAAAATTGCTCTTTGGTGCGTATATCTGATAGAGATCGATGAGATGCTGGAACAAGTTGCAACACGTTTGACCCCACACTGTCATTATTCAGCTTGCTGTTGGGGGCTTTCTGCTTACCTAATGAGACGAGATTCCCCTGAAGCTAAACTCCTTTCGACTTTCGTGTAAACGACTCAGCCGCGAAGGATTGAAATTTTGCTAATAATCTACTTTTTCCCATATGGATGCTAATTAGAAGATAATCTTATCGGAAACACGTGAAATTCTTATCCCTAGAAGAAATAATTGATTTCACTGGCTGGTTGGTGTGTTGTGTGTGTTGTGTGTGTCCCGCTGATTCAGGAATTCCGAGCACCAATTGCTGACGATGAGACGAAGAATCCTTCTTTCTTAATCAGGTTCATAACCTATTAAATTCACACTCCTTCTCATCTATTCTTGAATTTAAGCTTCTGACCACCTTCTCAGTATCGTGTACTTATGTTTCCCTCCTTCATCTCGATAAGGATCAGATGATCAGGGAATACAAGATCACAACGTCACTTCGGTGCTTTGTCCAACGCCTACATTCAGCTCATTGTATAAGGCTGGCGTACAGGTTGAAGGAATGCACGGGAGTAACAATACATTCTTTCTATATTTGTCCCAATTCTTCGTGGGGCTGACCACACCCCCGTTGTTATCTACCGGCATCGAATCAACCATGTTCACGCTACATATTGTACTAGATGTTTGATGTTTGATACCGGCAATTTGGTAAAGGATTACTTCTCTAGTCAAAATTAGACTCTTGCTCGATGCTGCAGGAAGATTGTAGCAAACTGGGATTTCCAATTTCCCCGCCAAGGCCCAAATTTGTTCGGAAGAGAGGCTCCCTGAACTGACGCAAGCAAACTTCGTATTGAGGCTGATGATATTTTTTAACATCCATTCTCTGTCTCTCGTAAGCATCATTTACTTCTTCGTCAGCATTCATTTCTTTCCAGATTGAGTCGGTAACATTTGATGAATTTGTTACTTAATGGACGCTCCTGGAGCATACAAATTCGGATTGGAACGTATGCTAAATTTATGAAAATAGCTATGATCCATCTTCCTCTTTGAGAGCTAAGTATAGCACGAGCTATCACGCAAATCTACTGTTTTCAAGAGCCCGAACTGCAGTTCAACAATGATCGAAATTTTTCCCCATCGAACGAGGTTCAATGTTTAAAATGTATTCGATCTTTCGGATGATTATACGATTGCAATTCGGACCGTTTGATAATATTTGCTGATGATTTCACTCTAGAATTCAAGACTCCCAGTGTTACTTCTTGGCGCTGCTTCAAAAATGAAATCTCTTTTGCTAGCCTGTGTTACATCAGTTCATTGTTCACTGTCGCTCAATATCGAGTTAGTCTTCTTCATGTTAATTCTCACCAAGATCTCATCAAGTCCTTTTTCCAATCTCCAGTGCAGCAATGCTGGGACCGTATTATCGTTGTGCGAGCATGAATGCAGCGACCTAGGAAGTTCCTGGGAGCATTTTGTGCTAGCCTGATAATTTTCAAGATGATATTCGAGGAAGCTACAATTATTTTAATTGCTAAGACAGTGTGGATGCCATTTACGAGTCCCAAAAATCATGGAGCCATGGATGAGGAGGCATATTGGGAAAGTAAACTCTCTTCTCAAATTCAGACAAAAACTACGTTTCTGAAAATTCCTGAGAGCATTTTCACTACTGACACAAAGCCAAGTTTCACTGATAGTGATGAGGGTAACTGAGCAACAACCAGCCGATCTTCAACTGTTAGCCACAGTGATTCCAGACAAAGTTCAGGTTCATGAGTGATTCGTGCCTATTGGGGTAAACTGATTAGGAACAAAAAGTGAGGTTTGGATTGGTGGTTTTCGAAATCTTCACTCGACCTACTGGGGAGGGTACCGGAGTTGCATTAATCGCTCTCGCTGAAGAATAACCTCAATTCCTTTTACCATCCGAAAAGAAATTGCTCGTCAATCTTTCGATTCTGCAGCCTTTATTTTTTGCACGAGATCCAACAATTCCCAAGAATACTCTGATTCAGCTGGAACGACGGCGGGTAGAAATCTAATTTCAAACTCCTCCATGTCGTGCAGAATACCATACGGCGCCCGAGGATAGGGCCATAAAATTTAGGAGATTACAGCTGCCAACATCATCCATAGCCAACCCAATCTCCGCAGTTGAGATGATTCACGAAATCTCAGTTTCCCCTGTTTTCGTCCATCAATTCATTACTGGATTCACTTTCGTCATTCTATTCAGAACCACCCATTTCGATGCTAATCACAAAAGGAAGACGGCCAGGTCTCGTAATAAAAATGTTCTCAGCCACCAAAGATTGGATTCTCTTACCAATGACACCGTCAAAGATATCGGTGTAGTGTATTTCCATACATCCAGCCGATTGCGTGAAAACCGGAGAAACGATTGTCGAAGAATTCGTGCTATACAAAATTATTGGTAAAGCCGCTGAAACTGTGGCAACAAATACAGACGCTCCATATGTAGGCACTGCGGCAATCACGACCGACCTCGCAGCGCGCCTAGCAATGGCCATGGCCGATTACGACATTCAGGTCCACAAATATGACGACAGAAAATAAGCATTGAGGACCAGAGGATATCGAGTAGGAGTCCATGTGGAGACAAGGGTTGACACATTTTCGGACATTGATACTAAGGAAGTTGAGCTCGGGGCTATAGGTATAAGTATAATGGGAGAAAGTATGGAGATCTTCTTTTAAATACTGAACAGTAGACAACGTATGGTAAACTGACATGAATGGCGGTAGCGATCCCATGCTCCATGCTCTATAAAGAAGGTTCAGGTTGTTTGCTGGCTTGGAGCAAGAAGTAAAGGGCGCATTTGGACCATCTATTCAAGAAAAAGGGGAACACTCTGAAAGTTTACCCAGTATCAAGTACAAAAGAATTGCAATACGGACTATAACAATCCATTCTATTGATATCTCTAAGTCCATGCATTGACTAGTGACACGATGAGGTCTCTAAGCTCGAGTGATCTTCCGTGTTTCTCAACTGCAAAAGCAATCACTAAAGTCTAGCATGAAGCTGTCCATCGTGTCAAACTTAATCTCGAAATTGAGGAAACCAATCAACCCACTTGATTGTCCAAACCGACTTCAGACATTGAAATAAAGCAGTGTAGCTTCCCAGCTCAAAAAAAATCAACCACTATTGAAACTTGAGGAAGCTATCTCCTGGTAGTCTCAGAGGAACGAAATTGCGACTTGTCAATCCAGACACCGTGAACAGACCTGGAGAACTTTCGCCGCATCTCTACGTACCCATATTCCTCATTAATCGATAGTGTTTCTGTCTATTTCTAAAGTAATCCATTCGTGTTTATACTTGACAAGTGTTCCCAGATTTCATAGCAAAGCAATGTCAAATGGCATTAGCATTACCATCGCTCGTTCGCGTATTCATCGATGAAGGGGTTAGACGGAAGTGCGAGGAGATTGATTATTTTCCTATTCGCACATGTTCAGCAAGCTCTCAAAATATGCTCATGTTACATTTTCATCGAAGGCTCATACACAGAGGTATAGAAATCATACAATGGATTAAAATTCCGCAAGGAAACCATTTAATCAGGCTCAAATAATTGATGGTGTTCATAGCGCGGGGTTGCAAGAATGAGATTAGTCATCACAACATTCTTGTGGTCTCGATCTAGATTCCTATCCCACTATCTCGTACACATCTGACCAGCAACAGACTGGAGAACCTTTGAAGATATGAGAATAGTAAAAACCCTGATCGAAGAAATTGTAAAATAAGGCACTTCGTGCTCTAAAAATCATTCATTTCACCATCGTAATACCATTACTTACTTGCACGTTATGAACACCAATACCACGCAATAAGCAAAGGAGGAGAAAAGCGTCCAAATAATCAGAGAAACACTCCGTATCAAACGAAAATTAAGCCCCCTAAATGAGTAACGAGATCAAAAACAAAAGAATCTCCCAACAACCAAACGAATCAGTACCTAGAAGTAGAAAAAAGAAGCAAAAGAAGATGTGCAACTGCCGTGAATCGAACACGAACCTCCACCTTGGAAGGGTGGAATCCTAACCATTGGACCACAGAAGCTTGATATCAAGGTCAGAAACTAAGATGTTTGCTTTGTTTGATGCAGATTCTACTTTGTTTGTTAATATATTATTATATTTTGTATCAGATAAAAATTCTGCTTGGTGGAACGAAAAGGGAATGCTGATTGGCTGGTATGGCGCATGGGTGGATACATATCTCAAAGAAAACGGTCCACATGGTATGGGATGTGGAGTAAGACGGGAACGTCGAGCATATAAATTAACCTTTCATCTAAGCCGAATAGTTCTAAGTCCTATATAACATTCAGTCTACAAAAACTTAAACGTCTAGCAATATCTCGCCAGTAGACTAGATATTACATTTCTATCTTCTAAATCTGATTTACTAATGAACCCTTTTCGTCCAAAATTCTTTGTCTTTGGTTAGCCAAACTTCTAAAATCCAGGACTCCAACACCACATACCATCTGGTGTTTCCAGCGATCTTCCCGCTAACTAACTAAAGCATTTTATATTGCTAAGCATAAATAACCACATGTTGTCAGATCCGAATCTACGATAAAATAAGGATATAATGAATATCATATAGTCTCGTCCGATTCTAGGAGCTGTTTATCTACATTTCGATTTCCAAAATAATAACATTATGTATCATGTTCTCGCGATTCATTAGATTGTAATCTCATGCTTGACGGGAATCCATAGACAGCCGGGAAAGCCATCTGATGGTAGGCATTTACAGCCTTTCAAAGATCAAGATTGCTTGACCATCCCACATGATGTGATTAGAAGCTTTTGATTTCCCCTCTAATCCCCTTGGTGAGTCTTCAACCAAGGGATGGGTATAATTTCATCTCTAGCACTGATTCCTAGCAACATCCTCTGGAGATAGTTCCTATTCTCAATATCTTCTCTAGAGCTCCCTAGAAGCTAATGATCACACATCACAATTCAATCACATATTCACCATCCCAAGCAAGGCCTACACACTTCTCTTCAAAACCACCCTGTCCCCTCAATGAGCCATCCCCCCATTAACCTCCACCACACTCCCATTAACATACCTCGCCTCCTCACTCATCAAAAAAGCTACCACATCCGCCACCTCCTCCGGCAACCCAAACCTCCCACTCGCCACCGCCCCCTCCATCTTCCTCACCTCCTCTTCTCCCCTAGTACCGACACATTCGTCGGGGTATCTATATACCCCGGCGCCACGACATTCGTTCTAATCCCCCTCGCCCCCAACTCCAACGCCATACATTTCGAAAATCCCACCACCGCGTACTTCGTTGCGCAGTAGACCGAAAACTGCGATACGGGAACCATACCGCAAACCGACGATACATTCACGAATGAAGATCCCGAGGTGAGATGCGGCGCAGCAGCACGGGTAATGTTAAATGTACCTTTCAGATTAACATTCATAAGACGATCCCAATACTCATCCGTGATATCCTCGATGGGTATCGCGGTCGGATTAATCCCCGCGCAATTAAACACGTGATCGATAGTATTGTGTTCGCAGACGAGATCGAGGATATATGTATTGCATGCTTGGGAATCACTGACATCTAGAGTGTGGATGTGGAAATCCTGTTTGGAGGTTGATTCTACATGCGGACATAGTTCTCGGGTTTTGGAGACGGAGTCGAGGTTTATGTCGGATAGATAGAGAGAGGCTCCTAGAGAAGCTAATTTAATGGCTGTGGCTCGACCGATGCCGCTTCCGGCGCCGGTGATGAGGATAGTTTTGTTTTGGAAAGAGGGGGGCATTGCTTTTATACTTGAGAGTGAGAAAGATGTGAAGTATCTGTTTTTGTATGTCTTTTAATGTCGTTGTGGCTTGTCTTGTGTAGATAGATGTCGATCCCGAGGTGGGGTAAAATTGATATGAGATCTTGTCTGTATCTACAACATCGGCTTCTTGGACAAGAAGTAAATAGTCCTTTGAAGACTTGATATTATCTAGGTACGAGTAGCACTGTAGGAGTATCAAGAATGAAGCTTTTCGCTGTCACTTTTCCGTACATCAAATACAACATGTATATTTCAACTCCAGCGTTACCACAAGTTACGAGCTCTTAGTATAGTATGCAATCTTCCATTTTATATCATTTTCCAATATACCTCTTCCCTCTTGTCCTCATCTTCTTTGAATTAAGTCTTTCCTTTTTTCCCTTCTTCTTCTGATCTGCCTGATTCTTGCAAGAAAGGAGGTTGTGTAGACTGCGAATCACTAGTCACTAAACAGAGTTTCTCAAAGGACTTATGAGTTACCATAAGACAGCAAGTTATTGACTAATATCATTCATTCATTCATTAAATCCAATAGCATCCTCACCACCGCAAATACATTAATTCAAGAATAATCACCCCATCTCTCCACCTTCATTCCATCTATTCAACTCACCAAGTCCACCACCATCTCTTCACCACCTCCAAACTTCCTTCCTCCCCACTTTCCCCCTCCATCTTCAACCCTCCTTGTACCACCACCGGTTTCTTCCCTAACCTCCTATTCGCAAAAATATACCACACCATCAAACCCACCACAATGACAAACGTCGCCGCGGCAAGTATATACATAGCCGTAAACGCATGCGTGTACAACGGGGCATCTGCTGTGCGGAAGACTTGCGATCCTGCAATCGCCGCTAAATTAGCGGCCATGATGATCATTGCCATGGCTATGCTACGTTCTTGAGGAGATTTGCAGTTGATGGAGAGCCAGGAGACGTTGAGGATGCTAGAAGAGGATCAGTTATGCTGAGTCAAAGCTGAGCCAATGGATAATGAATGCAGGAATAACTAACTGGACATTGGAGTTCGTAGCCATGGAAAACACAACTGCAGCATAGCGATGCCATTTACTTTCTCCAATGGAAATGCGTAGACATGCGTAGGCGATCACGCACCAAGTCGCGCCGAAAACGACTGCAGGGCCACGACGTCCTGTTTTATCTCTGGAATTGAGACGGTGAGTTTGAGATTTTGTGTAACTGGAAAGGGAATACTAACGCAACGAATCCAAGAATCACTACCACAAAAGCTGCAATAAAATTACCAACCGAAGCCATAGCATTTGCTCGCACAGTTTTGAAGCCGAGACTCTTGATAATCGAAGGACCATAACCTTGTACTGCACTAACAGATATTGTAGATGTTAACGTAATGAGGTTATGAACCAATATTCTCGGTTTCCTGATCGTTTTCAGGACTTCTTTTCCGGAGATCTGGAGCTGTCCTGTGGTTTTGGCAGGATCATCGAGGAGAATTCGCCGCACGAGAATGTATTGTTCGCGGGGAGTAAAGTAACTCCATTTACCGGCGCTGATAAGCGGAGAGCCATTTGAGACGCTAGGAGGGAGGAAGAGAATGAAAATGCAACCGATTCCGATGGTTATCAATCCTTCGACTATGATGCAACAGCAAGTCAATCTACCGCATCGCAAGCTGGAAATAAGACGCAAAAGACAAAAACTTACTGATAAATAACCACCTCCACCCCGCAATACCATATCTCCCCGACATTGACAAAATGCCCGCCCCAATGAGAGAAGTCGTCGCCGAAGCCAACAGATTCCCTAAAAAGAATATCGATATCCTTAAACTCGATTCGGATTTCTTGTACCAAAGAGACATAGTATAGAGAGCCCCCGGAATAAATCCCGCTTCACACAGTCCCAGCAAGAGACGAGTGACGATATATCCCGAGTAATTCGTGATGAAGTTTTGGAAAGTGGCTACTAATCCCCAAGCCAAGATTTGACCTGCGAGCCATTTCTGTGGTCCAATCTAATGATATCTTAGTTATATGTTTTCAAAGAATTGGAGTGAGTAGATCCCTCCCAGAAAAATCAATATACCTTTTGCAGTAAAATATTACTAGGAAGCTCCAACACCACGATTCCCGCGGATAAAATACTCGATCCCGCATTAATCTGATTCGTCGTCACTCCCAAATCTGTCGTGATGGTACTTGTCAACGCATTTGCAATATTCCCTCTATCTAACTGCAGAGCAAAAAATGCAAGTCCAAGAATCGGTAGAAGAATGAAATCGATTCTGAAACCATTGTTAGTCCTCAGGAAGTACAGACAGAACACAACGCTCGATATTCATGGAGGAAGGATATCACTCACTTTCTCTTAGCCAATCGTTCTTCCTCCTCTGTCCAATCGGGCTGTATATTCTCTTCAACACTTATAGCTGCAACTTCTTCATCACCCGTTGCTTTGAATGGCCCATCGTATGTCTCTTGAGCACCCATATTGTTCAATTCTTCTTGCTTGCTTGCTTGCTTGCTTGCTTGCTTGCTTCCAATTACTCTCCAAAATACACAAAACACAAAACACAATTTCACATAGATCACACCACGTCTCAAACCACTGAGAAAAAGAACAACCAAATCAGAAAACCATCCAATATCCGTACACTACTCAACTATATATACAACCATCAAAAAAAAAAGAACCCCCCGACCATCTCCCCATTTTTCCTCTCCTCTAAAATGCAACAAGCATGCATGCACTTGCATGATATACACATGAAAATGTCTATACAGATCCACGATCAACCCATACCGCTCGTTCCACCTCTCTCAAGTCTTTTCCCTCGCACCAAAAACCCCCCCATCCCATCCCATCCATCTCAAGAAAGATTCGTACGCACACCCCAAATCCACACCACTGATTCGTGCATCTCTCACTTATCTCTCACCCCGGCCAAACATTCAAAACCCAGATCCATTTTCTATCCATTTCCCCTCCAACTTCCCGGGTGTGGGGTTCTTTCGCGTAGATTGTTTGGCTTGCGAATGTTGACGTGACGATGCGATGGCTTGACGTGCTTTGAGGGCACGTGATATCCATGTCGGCCCCTGTTCACGTTGATGTTGATATTTGAACGAACTTCATACCTCATGATGATAGTGGGACCTTAAAAGTGATCAAAAACACAATGGGAGGTGGTAAAATAATATCTTCCATTCAAGGTAAGTTCATTTGAATAATTACCAAATACTCCGTAGAACTGCGGTGTGTAATCTGACATGATCCAATACATTCAACCTTCAAAACGCATCCCTCTCTCGACTTGTATTTGAATCTCACGGGCTTAATTTATCTACCCACCTACCTACCTACCTAGCCATCCAATGTTCGATTACCTCATTTCTTCTGGCTGCCACAAGGAAACCCGATATTTCCATTCCGCTCTACGATCCCAAGTCTCTCCTTCGCATTATCGTATTCTCCCCCTCTGAAAATATCAGTACTCATCACTCACATCTTACAACGGGTAGAATAGAAAAAAGAAAGAAAGAAATGATCACGCTTCGGGCGGAGATGTATACGTGAGCGCACGCTAGCGCACAAGCGTATTGCAACTAGCTCTCGTGGCTTTGAACCTGAAGAGACGCACAATACGAATCAATCAATTAGATCTATAATGAAGATATTGTAGTCACCACCGAGGTGATACCAACAGCAATAATGAAACAGAAAGATAAATAATCGATCACATAGTCCACAATAATTATATCTACCTACCTCTCCTCTCACCTCTCACCTCTTCCCATCCCCCTCCTATTTTCAAACCTTCACTTTCCCTTCCCAAATTCAACTCCCAAATCAATTCCCAACTCCCAACTACCTATCACCTACCCATCTCTCAACTTTCTACAGCCCAATCCTCATATCTCATTCTCTACCCTCCATCCTCCATGCCAAAGCCATAAAACCACATACAATACATCTCATCTACCCACCCACCTACTCACTCACCCATCCACCCACGAACTCACCCCCCAAATCCTTCCCTCGCTTATCCATCTACTTCCCATCTACTCACTCACCTATCAACCCATCAACCTAATATTTCAACTCCAAGCATTTACCCCTCTCCCTCTTTTTCTCTTGAAACATACCAAATATGACACTCCACTATCACATAATTTATTATCCTCTACCCTCTACCCTCTACCCTTTATCCTCTATTCTCTATCCTCTCCAAATATCAAACATCATATTAATATAATAACCATCCACCTACATAACCATAACCATATCTATTCCCAGAATCCCATCTCATCCCATCCCATGCCATACCACCTCCTTCATTTGCCCCTCTTCTTTCCTTTCCCACTCTCCTTCCCTCTCCCTCCCTCACTAATCCAACCCAATCCAATCCAATCCAACTCTCTCTCCACACCCACATCCTCAATCTTTCTTTCCCAAAACCACCACATCAAGTCTCACTTAACATCAATCTCAATCTCTTTTCAACCTCTCCCCTCTCCATTCACATGCACATTCACATGCACATTCACATGCACATTCACATTCACATCACATTACCTCACATTACCTCACACCCCTAAATAACACAACACAACACAACACAGAATATTAAAAGAGTATAATTTCCCTATCCATCTCATCCTATCTTATCCCTAAAAAATCAAGATAGAATATCTTATCCACAAGAAACCCCTATCCCATATATATATATCCATGGATAGGTAGGTAGGTAACAGATATATCCATATCCATATCCATCCATTTATCCACCAAAAAAGACAAAAAAGAAAAACGCTTCAACGCCCTACTCCCATCATTCCCCGACCAGCTATTTGTCAGAGGTGTTTAAAGCCAATCGATCTATTTTATATCCCAATCCATATCACGTGCGGTTTATTCGCCAAAAAACAACAAAATGGTTTATCTTCAACTCATCAATCAATCAATCGGAATTCCTCCTCCTCCTCCTTCTTTCTTCCATCCACCCAAAGGAACAGATGGTAATGACTTATACCCTCGTCGCATTAGCTTCCCTAGGCGGCACCTCTCCTCGGAGATTTACCCACCCCTTTTCTCCAATTCCAATAACTCCCTCTTTCAAAATCGTCAATTGTCTTACTCCGCAGTATCCTCCTTTTCGGGCTACCCTCTCATAATCCACATAATGCCCCTCTCTCTCCCAGTAACCTTTTGGCTTTGCTAACGCACCATCACTTGGTGTTATCTGTCGTTTCGCATGCATGATTCTCGATGGTGGAGAAGTCTCTGCACGAGATTTAAGACCTCCAACTATTGCGGAAAAATATGATGATGAAGATGATGCTTGAATAGAATTAAACCCTTGCCAGGTCGAATCCTCAGCGCCTACATCTCTCTTTTCTTGTTTCTTCTTGTCCGTAGAACTGGAAGCATTTCCATATTTTCCACCAAAATTCTTTTGCAAATCAATCATGGCTTGCTCCTGCTCTGGTGTAAACGAATTGGGAATCCATAATCTATCCTCCACAATGTCTCCTTCATTTTCCATTCTCCTATCATTGAATCGCGGAAGATGCGCAAAATGGTTGATGATCGCTTGCCATGGTGTAAACAATCTTTCAAATCTCTTCGCATACTTAATATAGTTGAATGATTTCGCATCATATGTCACTCTCACGAAAGGATTCATAAAAATTCCTTCACCCCAATCTTCATTGGTATTTGTAGTATAATCTGGGAAATCGGGTGTTGCGAGGATATCGGCGTGAATCAGGCAACATTCGGAAGAATCCCAGAAAGATTCTGGTTCGGATCGAAATTTGAGGGGAAGTTCTGCGACCGAGGTGGAACGTTCGTAGATATGATCCGAGTCGTTGGGTTCTCTTTCTTTCGACTTCGAAGTGGTCGACTTTGCAACTTCCTTTTGAAAAAATCTCCCATCGAAAGCTACAATACCACCCCAACAGCTCTTAACTCTGACCGCATCCTTTCCAGCCAAAACATCATTTCGACTGGTGCTTTCTCCTCTTCCTCCAAACCACGGAAAGATCGGCACACCGATGCTGTATCCCTCGGTATCCCTCGTAGCATATGTATCGTAGTACTTCCAGCTCGTAATAAAATCCGCACCACAAACTGCCTTGTACTCCGCCTTTCCCTCTTCATTGACATTGGTCCCCCACAATAACCTCATCGCACCCTCCACCTCAAAGATTACATCGTTCAAGAAAAGCACTCTCTCATACTTCTCCTTCACCTCTCCAGATGTCATGGGATCCAAAGCCTTATTCCTCACATCAGCCAAGTATTCAATTCTCTTCACTCTCGTCACTCCACTAGGCAAAGTAATGCGATGTAAAGTGGAAAGATCAATAACATCATCTGACTCTGCCACAATTTTTCTCTGCACACCATGCAATCTCGCGCTCAATCTCTCCAAGGAATCTTTCGGTCCTCCATATACACTCACGTAAACCCTCTCCTGTCCAATCGCATTCACCAGCGCCACCAAATTATCACCCCAAGGCCCATCTATAAGTTTCGCATCCACAATATTCGCTGCGATGAATACCCTTTCATCGCTAGGTATCGAGAATGTGGGAGGGTTGGTGTAACTGGCGTTGAAGGTAACCTGCCAGCATAGAAACAGGATGAAGAAGAGAAAAATATACGTGGGTTTGCAGATTCTTCTCAAGGCTCGTAGGAGTTTCGATGCTATACGCCGCGAGGAGACAGATGTATCTTTATATTCATCGGTAAAGTCGTTGGCATCGAGGGAATTGCGAGGGAGAGGAGCGTATTGAGGGGATGATGATCGCGACATCTTGTAGAGTTGATTTTTGATTCCCATGATGAGATTATTTTGCTGAGTTCTGATATAAGTTGTCCTTCATCTGACAAGCTTTCGGTATTATTGAAATCCGCAATCTTATTCGTGGTATGGCTTTGTTCTTGGTGTGATTGACTTTCTTTTCTTTTTCTTCTCCTTTGTCGTCGCACTCCGACTCCAAGGCCAACTCCAAACAAGTATATTTATGGCGATGTGATAAAGAGCGGAATGACTGCCATGTGATGACGAAAAGTCTTGGTAGAAGTGGAAGAGGAAAGGTTGAAAGGATTGAATGGAATGGAAAAAGAAAGTAGTAAATAATAATGCAAAAGTGAATCAACGGGAAGAGTATGTATTCACAATTAAAAATTCATAAACAGAATATAATAGGCAGTAGTGAAGCGGTATAACCAGTGGTGAAATTATTATTTTTGTTTGTTTGAGGATGAGGATGAGGATGGATGAGAGAGAGAGTGTGTGTGTGTGGGTGTGTGTGTATGTGTGTGTGTGAGATTGAGATTGAGACTGTAATTGAAATTAAAATTCGAATCAACTCATCAACTCATCAAACTTATTATTGTTATTATTATAATTATTATTAAACTTCACTTCACTTTCACTCTTCACCTTCACTTCAATCAGGGTCCTCTCTTCTAGTCTTTCTCCTTTCCTCCCCCCAAAACCCTTGTAACATTGACTTTACTGCATCTGCATAGCCCCCAGAATCTACGCTCTCTAGTGTCTTGACTAGCGTCTTTAGCCTCTCACAATTGACGCGGCCCATACGTGATACAAGGCCCGACGCCCCGACAAAAGGGGGAATTACCGTAATTACCATAAGTTGTTGTGAATGATCATGAATTACCATGAATTATCATAAATTATCATAAATTATCACAAATTCCAGCCAAACAAAACCGTCCATCTTTCCCTCACCCAACGCATACCTCGGTAATTGATATCCAATCATTCCATCACATTTCTTCTTCTTTCCCTTCTGGACCAATGAGGGTTTGTGAGAAGATCAACGCAGTGGTTACTGTATTGAGTAATTTTGGATTTTGATGTCAATTCAATGCACAGTTACGACAGTGGAAGTGGAAGGAGGCACAGCACACATGATTCAATGCCATTGGTACCGAATACATTAGGTAGGGAATTGTAGGGACGAAGTGTACGATGTATACATACGGTGGGTGTACATACAGGCCCCCAACTCTTTCTTCTCTCCTCTCCTCTCCTCTATTCAATGGAACAAACGAGCGAATGATCTTACGAGGACACGAAGAAACGACGAAAAACGAAGAAACAAATCACAATCAAGAGAGTAACCTATCTAGGTACCTATCTCAATCCCCTCCCCCTCCTCTTACTCGCACTCGCATCTCGCACTCGCACTTCTACTTCATTCCGTATATCAATCATACTTTCGCACTTTTGTACTTTCGCGTTTCCTCCGCCGTGATATCTATCCGTAATACTTATATATAGATACTCTCATCTCTTATCTCTCATCTCGTCTCTTATCTTCTCGTTCTCGTTTCTCACTTCCAATCCCCAATCATCTAGCTACCAACCCTTCAACATCCCATCCCAAATTAACCCCAGCCACCAGTTCTCAGCACATGACAACACAACTCAACTCAAACCCACGTGACTACAATGCATGCATACTTCCCATCCAATCCATCCCTCACTACATCTCCTCTTCAATCCCTCCCCAATTCCCTCCACTATCCTCCTCTATCTCCCCCTTTTCCCTCCCCTCTCCCTCTCACACCCATTCACCGTACCACCTCCCCACACACACACACACATACACACCTCCATCCATCCATCCACCCACCCACCACCCACCAGCCATCCCTCCAAAAAATTCGCATATCCAATACATTATCCCCAACACCATACCCAATCCATCCCTCCAACACGCTATACGCTATACGCTGTACGCTATCCGCTATACCCAATCCATCCCCCCACCGCCAAAAACTACATACAATACCAAGGGCCGTGCCTCAGTGGAACATAGTATTGCATTCTTTCTTTCCTTCATCCATCCATCCATCCATCCATCCATCCATCCTTAAGTATTCTCCAGTCCTCGCACGAGTTCCCTACTACCTACTCATACTCATACTCATACTCATCCACCCACAGCCCACAATCGACAATCGACAATCCACAATCTACAGCCTACAATCGACAATAAACAGTAACCAACCAACCAACCAACCAACGATACAAATTCGCAAATGAATCGTCCCATGCATGATACCCACCCTCCTACCACCTTCGACCCACCCAAACCTCCAAACGTCCACTTGGATATCCATAATTCTCTTCCCTAACGTTCCCTCCGGTGTGTGTTCCACTTTTCTAAGATTAATTTAGCTACGTATCAAAGTAGGATGCCCTGAGATGCCGCAACAAACAAACTTCAATCATTATTAATACACAGGCATGTACCTATATACCTATCTGTACACACACCCCCTCCCCCCCCTAGGAGTAAATCACTTTTCACTTCTTGGCATCAAAATCAAATCACAATCACAAACTTAAAGTAGAAAATATCTCATAATTCATAATTCATTTTCATTTTCATTGGGGGTTCTAGACTACTCAAATACCTCACGTACGAAAGCATCAAGAACCGTAGGATACTATACAATGCAATGCAATGTAATCTTGTTAATAACCTCCTTGAAAAAGACAACTCCCTTCACCAACCATCAATAAATGAATGAACCAATGAATCAATGATTGACTGCGTCGTCGAATCCCTTGTCATTCATCATTCATCATCCATCCCACCCTTGTATTACCTCCTCCCCTCCTCCCCCCTTCGATCAAAATAGAGCAATTCGCGAAATAAACATAATCCGTTCCGTTGCAAGCAAGCAAGCAATTGTGTTCAGGAGCTAAGACCAAAACCAAAATTGGCCAGGCCAGATAAGTACAGGATGGGTGCAGTAACGACGATGAGGAGTGCAGGAACGGCTATAAGCCTAATTTTCATGTTAAGGGTACCGATCAGCTTGATGCGAGTCCAAAGTTATAATAAAAGACTCGAGGGTATCATGTGAGAAAATAAGGAAAGATCAAGTCCAAAGGAAGAAATCCTTACGTGTGACGTCCGCCACCACATAACTTCCTAATCAGTCCTCCAATCCAATCTACAAAGACGACCTGGAAAAATGCTCGGAGAAAGTTGCGGGATTTGGCGTCATTTCCAGCAGAACGCATCGAAGACGGGGTAATCGATCTGTCGGGTGCACTAGATGATGGTTGTTTACGAGCTCTTAATTGCGAGTCATTAGCCCCATCAGCGAATGATGTGGTCTTAGCAGCATCCTCCTCAGTGGCAGATTGATCGATATTCGCATTCACACTCGCAGCTGGAGTTGCTGGCTGGACGGTGATGCTTGGGCTATCCTGAACTGGGGCGGGAGAGCTGGTTGCAGAGCCTTCAGCAAGGTTGAGAGATTTATTTTCCACGAAAGGAGTTGGAGGCAAATCTGGAAGAACCGGTCGGAGTTTACTTGGACCCTCGGTGAAATTTATGGCTGGTAATTGAGGCGATGAGCTTTTGGAAGTTTCGATAGCTGCAGGTTCAGACAATTCTGCTACATCCGTCTTTGAAGTCTCGGTGTCATTTGTTTCAATCTCTTGTTCGCCGGCGTCTTCATTCGCTTCATCCGTACCATTCCCATCAGCTTGAGACTTCTCCATACTAGGTGGTAGAGCAGTCAATTTGGAATCCGATTCACCTTCAGCATTCTCTTCTACAATTGGAAGTAATGACGGGGAGCTCTCATGTGCAAGCGATTGGGGTGATGGTGTTGTTAAACCGGCAGTTGCATGATGATTGCCATTCGTGGTAACAGGGGAGAGCGGGGTTCTTTCAACATCTGCTGGGTCTTCGCTCAAATGGTTTTCAAGTCTTCTGACATGCTCCAATATCTGATTAAAATTGTTGGGAAATGGCTCGAGACCAGGATCATTCGGATCAAATTCTCGAAACATTGGCTCTGAAGCTGTCATTCGAGCCTGCGCACTCTCGTATTCTAAACGCTCTTCAGCGGTAGGGGGACCATTGCACTCATGAGCGAAAAGTGGTGCCCGTTCCTCAGATGGCGTTTCCGTGTCCAAATCCCGTTCTAGATTGTCAACGCCATGTGAGACGAAGTCCCGCTGAGGGGTTGGTAATTCAATTGAAGTTGGCTGCGAAAGAGGTCAATAATCTGCATACGTGAATAAGAGCATGGTGGGAAGCCTACCTTAGAATCGTCATCAATATGAGCTGCCGTATCGGCAACCTCGGCAGCAGTTGTTGCAACCTCAGGAATTGGTGTATATGACAGTCTTCTATACCCAGTCTTTCCAGCCTCCGTATCTGACATAGGAGGTGTTGGTGGTGTTTCATCAAGCAATTCAGCAGAGTCTGCAACCTCAGCAGCAACATTAGCTAAGTCCAGAGTGGTAGCTTGCTCTCTGATGGTGATATGATCAGGTAAAGCATCCTGGGCATGTAAAGTATGTGCATCCTTTTGCGCATATGTTGCGTTACTTCCGAAATCATCGCCATGACGTGGCTCGGAATCAACCTTCTCAACACTTACAATTGGTGCCGATGCAGCTTCGATGGGGATGCTTGAATGGCCATCGTCTTCTGTAACACTTTCCGTACTAGCAGCAGGTTCGTCGACTTTACCTTGTTGAACTAATTCCTGGGCAGGGCTTTCTTTGCTGTTAGAGTCAATCTCATCAACTGGCGTTTGTGCTTCAATCGTCTCATCGACTGGTGTTTCAACAGCAGGGGTTTCTTCCACCTCAGTTGCTTTGGATTTGACGTCGTCCTGGACCGCATTTTCATCGCTAGAGGTGGTCGTTTCGATTTCAATCGGTTTCTCATCTACAATTGGTTCAGACACTGGCTGTTCTTCTTTAGGTGCAGTGTCAGTTTCCTGTGCAGCAGCTTGTTCCGTAGAGCCAGAATCTTCTGAAACACTCTCCACACTTTCCTCGGGAGGTACAGCATTGGAAGCATTAATCTCAGAGCTCTCTAGTTTTTCCTCTTTAGGCTCCTCAGCTACCTCCTCAGTGGTTTCATCTGCAATGACGGGACTCGAAATGAGGATCTCAGAATGTGGTTTACTTGTGTCGGTCCCTTCCGTCAGTTTCTCCTCAAGATCAGCGTCACCAACCACCGAATCAGTTTCTTCTTTTGGTTCACTCTTGCTAGCATGTTGTTCTGGCTCCAATGTCGATTCTTCGATGTGGGCAACTTCTGGTTCTTCCTTGGTATCATCCACGTCCTCGCTAGTAATAGGTTCTTGGATGGATGCTGGCTCTTTGACATGAGTGAGCGTAGCCTCTTCTTGTGTCTCACTCTCGCTGGACTTTGGTTCTTCGATTGTGGAATGGGCAGCCTCTTCTTGTTGTTCTGTGACTTCGTCCTGCTTTGTACCAGTCTCGGCATGTAGTACCTCATCATCTTGACTTGTGATTTCGTTAGACTCTACCACTTTTGTTTCACTAGCGGAAGAATCCTTGAGAGTCTCATTAGCCTCTTGGGCGGTTGAGGCTGGATGCAAGTCAGGAGTTTCTGTAGTTGTTGTCTCCAACTCCTTGGCAGTCTCTGGTTGAGCATGTGACTCCGAATTCAATGGTTCTTCAATTTCAGTGTCTATAACTTCAAGCTCATCTACTGGTACACTTGACGTATCAGGGAGGTCTGCGGTTGCTGTCTTTATCTCCTCGGTTACTGGTTGAGGGTGTGATTCCAGATTTTTTGGTTCATCGAATCCGGTAGTTGAAACTTCGAGCTCTTCGGCCGGCACGCTGGACGAATCGAGTTCTGGAGTTTCCTTTTCAGACTCAACTGCATGGCCAGCTTCGGCAACAGGTAGTGATGATTCGTGCGTCTCTTTGGGCTTCTCTGATTCGGTTTCGACACCATGATCCAATGGAGAATCCTTGACTGACGTGACTGCCTCGAGATTTGGGTTATCAGAAACTTTGTCTTCAGACTCAGTGTGTTGAGTTGGCTCAATTATGGTATCCATCGTTGACGCTTTGATGTCAGTTTCGGGCATTGTGCGAGGGGTTGAATTGTCTTCGTCGGAAGATGCTTTGATCGGAACTGAAAGAAGATTGTTTCGATTTCCAATGTCATCGACAACTGTAGAAATGAGTGTTATTTAAATATCCGAAAATTTAAAATTATTTATCATGCATTGAAAAGTGGATTAATGAATTGAAATTTCGCTTCATATGTGGCAACCAAATTTTGTAATGAACAAAGTCGTAGAAGTTTTGGAGTAATGAGGTAGAGAAAAAGATGAGGGTAATCCACATACCAATTGGAGCATCTTCATCCGACATCCACCAATCCCCATCACCAATTCTGAATTTGTATTGATATTCTTTCCCCTCTTCTACTTCGACAGCTTTCGAGAATACGTAATGATCAGTTGAAACATTTTTGTATTCCATCTCCCGAGGCTGCCATCCTGATTCAGGAAAGGAGCCGGCGAGATATATTGGTGGGGCAGTTCCTGGTTTGGAATATGTAATGACAACTGATGTCTTCGCGTCTGCCATATTGACCTAGTATTCTGCGAGCTGTCATTACCGGTGTTTGACGTATATTTGAGATCAAGAAAGGAAAGATATCACTGCTTCATGGAATATAGGAAGTGTCGGTCATAGACAGCGGAGAGACTGTCTGGAAGAATGAGAAGCGTAGGTAAATGGGATGACAACGACGGAGGAGGGTTTTTGTGGAGGTTCTCGAAACAAGCAGAGATTTGTACGGCAGCGTGAATGCTACCAAAATGCAAAAGAATTCGCCGAGAGAAGGAGGAACCGTGACGACATGTGAAGTGATATGTAGAAAAAGGAAAGGAAAGGAAAGGAAACAAAAGAGGGGAAGGGCGAAGGAAAGAAGATTAATCCGTACCTGTTTAGAGATAATTAATTGGCTCTGATAGTATACAACTTTTCCTCTACAAGATTATTCACCAAAGAATGCCTTGCAACGGAAAAAGCTTTGGACGTGAGTTTATACTTCACAACGATGCATGAATTGAGTGATGTATATCAAAAATCAACGTCGAAAAAGAGAGTATTCGGAGGGTTACTGTCGTTCAGATAAGGCTGATAACGACAAGGCTTATCGGGTCCAAAAACTGATAGGATGAACCAGATATCAAATGGGGTCGTAGTGATGTTTCTCTTTTACGAAGAGGATTGAAGAGATCGAGATGAGAGATGAAGTGCAAAGAACATTCGAGCAGAGCAGATCAGTTGTTCGTTTGGAAGGGGTTCATGATATCAAGATTTATTGGATTGGCAAAGCAACACCACTTTTTCGATGCAATGCAAGCTTACTCCGTACTCGTCCTAGCCCTTCCAGATAAATGCCAAACTCTTCTTTCTTTGGGTACACCAGCATTTGGGGAGGGGAAAGACCTGCGTCACATAAGAAATCATCCTTGATATATGCACTTCTGGACGAATGAGATGCTTGATATCCACCTTCTATCTGTGCGACATTGTTGGCAGCCACATCATAGCTCACGCCACGGATGATTGTTGGGCTTCTCCGCCGAGAGAATTTTTCATTGAGGATGGGGACATGGGAGGTGAATCTGATGGGTTGAGAAGTACATTATATGATTTCAACCGTTCCTTAGCTTTCCGAGGAGTCAAGATATACATGTGCACGGGGGTGACGGGAAAGATGCGTGAGTGGGTGGTGACACGTGAGTGGGTGGGTGGTGACACGTGAGTGGGTGGTGACTCGTGAGTAGGTGGTGACTCGTGAATGAAGTGAAGTGAAGTGAAGTGAAGTGTGGAAGGATAAAGGATTGGTGTGGACATTTCCTTCCGCAAGAGAAGATCTGGAGTACTTCGTATGATAGGCCTAGCCTCCATTAGCGTGACATCGAGAGTGGGGAAGCTTTTATCAGCAAGGATGGAGCTGTGCAAAAGCTGACGGTGTGATTGATCATTGGTTCGTTTACTACAACCAACGGGAGTGAGGTAGACATGTGATATCTCAGCCTTATCATGCGAGGCCAACAATGATTTTTCTTCGAGGCTGAACCACCTCCAGCAAGAAGGAAAAAGAAGGGAACACCCAAAAAACACTCTCTTTTCAATATTCAATGTCAAATCAATCGTACATTATTCGGAATTGAATCTTGAATCTTTACATTAGCAGCCTATCAATATATTATGAAAGGTGCTTCAATGCAAATTAATATCATGGTAAAATATCGAAATAAATACATGTTTCGATATATGATTTTATTTGAATGCTTTGGTGTGCCGCTTTTCCCCCATCACACGGAGGCTGTACCTCGACAATCTTAATTCACTACTGAGGACTTCGAGGATTTCGACCCTACTACCGTATGAACCTCAACCATTCCACAATTTACAAACAAATCAAATCTCAACCGTATTATACACGGAAATTCGATACCAGTATCTCGGTATCTACAGTGAGATATAATCGCTGTGCAGTCTTGTTTGATCTTCCGCAGAACCTTTCTCGACCATCCCTTGATTCCAGGTCGTGGTCTCCCCAATTTGATTCAATCATGTCTCTGCCACCATCAATTATTCATATCAAGAGGAAAGCCACAGATTTACCTCAAGATTTTCTTCGTACGCTACACAGAAACTTTCTGCGCCGCTAATAATTACTAACTCAAATCCTTATAGGTGTTGATGATGCCGTCACAAAACGACAACGTCGGACCACCGATTTTGTTTACTCTAGACAGCAAACTCCACAAGTCGATACTACCCCCTCTACTCCTCAATCAGCTCCACCAGGACGACGCATTAAACCTTTACATCGTTCTACAAGCTCCCGGTCTTTGACTGTCAAAAAACAAGGGAAAAGTGAAGGAACTGTTCAATCAATAAATGAAGTCAATAAAGAGGACCAAGAAGTCAAGACCCAACCTCCGACTGCCAATATTCCTACAAAACAAGATGACGAAGTGAATCATGCTTCAGACAGCATACAACCTTCAAGTAGTGGGTCCCCTCTGAGTCGTGGAAGTACGAAGAAAGCAGTGCAGCAGAGACGATTCCATCTTTCGAGAAGTGCAACACCTTCCATTTCTCCAGGTCCAAGTACTGGGGTACGAAAGCGCAATGCTACAGTGTTTATTGAGCGTCGCGTGCGACAAAAGACCCAAGAGGAGAAGTGGACATCTGTGGCCAACGCTGCGATAAAATCGGAGAATGTTGCTACCCAGAAACAAGACCAAGAGGAAAAACCACAGAAAAAGCCAGGCCGAGGATCGAGAGTGCAAGTAGCACCTCCAAAAGATACGAAGGGTGAGAAGGATGCAAAGGAAATCCCTGCACCTCAACCAAAACCACCCTCTGCTTTGGTCAACCCTTGGGGTCTTGATACAGATGATTTGGCAGCACAGATGCAAGCTTATACACTACAAGAAATTGGTCGTAGTATTGCAGAATCCAAGGCAGCAGAACCTAAACCATCTGTACCAGTACAATCCTCTTATCGCAAATCAACATCTACTAGATTCAAGCCCAAAGTACCAGCTTTGCGCTACAAGGAACGTCATCCAGAGGAAAATACCATGGAAGTTGACGAGGATCAAATGTCTGGAGTTGAGACTGATGGGGATGTGGATACCGATTCAGAGTATATCATTGAGACATATATTCGTGTTCCTGCTGAAGATATCGACAATGAAGATAATAAGATCAATTTTGGTATTCTTGTGCTTGATGCTCAATCAGATATTGACGAGTTTTATCAAGATTGGGATACAGATGAAGAAGTAGAAGATGAGGCGGAAGAAGATGAGAATGGTTCGTTCTCCTTATGATTCCTTGATGTTTCCAAAACAATCATGCTAACACGCCCTCAAAGATGAGAATCACTACACAGCCGATTATCCTGATGCGGAAGTCGACTCAGACGACGAGTACAATAGAAATGCCTATGCATATCGTACCGGTAACGCTTCAGATCTCGAGGAATTTGACGAGGATGATAGTGATGCAGATGAAATGGGATTTAGTGATGATGAAACCGACAAGTTGAAATATCCATGGCAGAGAGTTGCGGCTCATGGACGGAGAAATCAAATCAACCAATTTGCGAGTGGTGAGGAGGATGAGGATGCGGATATGGAATAGGAATAGGGGAAATGGGAAACGGTTGGTTGAGGAAGGGAGAGATGAATGCTGAAGGGTTACTTGTGGTAATGGGAGAAGTCTGATGGGAATATGAAGTGGAGATGATATTTAGGATGTCTGTTGAATCATTGAGGTTTACATCTATTGTGCAGGAAAACGAATTATTGAAAGGCATGAAGCAAAGCTTGATAGAAGGATACCGTATGGCAGAGCGAGCGAGACATAGAGAGCGAGACATAATCCTATGAGGAAGCACACCTAGGAGAGAAAAAATCAGAACGATGAATGTGTCCAATAATACCGACCTACAGTCCAACATCCAAGATTCGAGAGAGTTCTGCCCCTTTTAGATATGAAAATCCTTTTTTGATTTTTGAATTGCTTTGAAATGATGAATTTGTGAATTTGATGATGCTTAGATTGATGGGAATATAGTTTGGAGTTATTGAGATACTGGGTTGGACTTGAGACTTGGGAGGGGAAGCTTTGTGCGATGGGATGGGATGGGATGGGATGAGATGGAGTGGTTTGCTGGGTAGAGTAGAGTAGAAGAGTAGTCGGGTGTATAGAGAGGGGGTGGGTGATGTGAATGTGAATGTGAGTGTACTCGAGTATATGGTGGGTTTTGATTTGAATTTGAATTTGAATTGGATGTGATTTTTGGGAATGAAGAAGGAGAGGGAGAAGGAGAATTGTGACAAGTATTTGGGTAACGGGGCTAGTTGGGTCACAAGCTTTATCATAGGTATATATGATATATTCAAGATGTTAGATTTGTTTTGAAGGGGGATGTCTTAAAGTGATATCTCGGGGGAATATCTTACGGTGTGGATTTGTGTGTGTGTGTGTATGTTGAGGATGAGGATGAGGATGAGGGTTTGAGGGTTGGGGGATAAAGGGGAGGGGATGGGGGATGGGTTGTAGGCGAGAGGGAAGAGAAGAAAGAGGAAAGAGGAAAGAGGAAAGAATTAGGAGATATGAAGAGCTGATTTGAGAGGTCTAGTTTAGTTATAACGTTAGTTTCTTTGTGCGGAATAACATTTGGAGGATAGCAATAGCAATAGCAATGGCAATGGCATTGAGATCTTTAGGATGGTTGTGGTTGGTAGGTGATTAATCATTACTGAACTCTTTCGATTTCTGAATGGAGGGGAATAGAATGAAATAGTGTGATATAGAGGGATATATAATAAGACTATCTAATCTAGTTGAAAACAAGATTCAAAAAACCGGCATCTAAAGATAGAGAGAGAGTATCTACCTAGTACCATCTAGAGTTTCTTTTCATGTATGAAGATAGATAGCTAGCTTCCTACTTTCGGCAAATGATCGAGAGATTCTGAGTTTTTGACCAAATCTCGGGTATACTGATATGATGATGTGATGAGATCAGTATGCCCAGTCACAATATTCTAAGAGTTTCATGGTCTTGTGTATTGTTGTGTGTATTAATGTAATTAGGTGCTCACTAGGTAAATATGATAGATATACTTGCAAGTATCTAGTGTACATGTTTAGTGAAAAGGGAAAAGAAATTCTCCTCGCTAATTTACACCCAGCGGCCATGAGCTCTGGCTAGGTGACTTCTCGGGAAATAGTACAACACAATACGATATGATACAACTGACGTACAGCTCCAGAGCTTTAATCAAGGACCTCGATGAAAAATTCAAGAGTTGGAGAGTTCTTGAATCTTGGGGGTTTGTTTTGGGGACTGACTGATTGATTGATGGGCTCGAGTTTGCTTCAAGAATAGGATTGAAAGCGGTTCAAACGATCAATTGGAGATTTTTTGAATTGCAATATTTTACCGCCTGTAGGAAACTTTTCATGGAGAGGGGTTTGTGTGGTGTGATATGGTGTGGTGCAGTGGTGCAGTGGAGGGATTTATGGTATTGGATTTCATGCTTATGTGGTTATCTATCAATATACTAACTAACACACTCCCGACATACATCCTATTCTCCCAGTATCATTCTATAAAATTCCATCATTCTCAAACTCTTCGATACATACTTGAATCGTGAAGCATTAAAGACCCCAAGAAGAAAAGATGGTGGGAGTCCACTCGTATCTACACTCCCACTCCCACTCCTAGGTTCAGAACTCGAACGATGTATACACTTACCTATTTTCAATAACTGACCGATATGGTTTTTCATGTGTAGGCACCGGGTGGGATGGAGAATCGGAAATATGTGAATCTTGGAATGTATAATGATTTCTAACAGCATATTTGAAGGGTTTCGAGAGATACTGTACTATTCGTGAGATTCTTAGTCGCTGGTTCGCGGGTTTATGCTTTTGATTCTTGAATGTTCGATGTTTTGGTGTGAGGGGATGTGAGAAGATGTATGGTGTAGTGTACCTAGTACTTATATAATACTCGGACCTTCACTTCCATGTCCTAGGTAGCCACCATATATCTATGTATATATGCGTCTACTCGCTGCAGAGAAATATCTTCTACTGATATTGATTTCTTCTCTATTTTCGTTTCCCTTCTTCTACACTGTAACAACTCCCCTCTCCCTCTCCCTCTCCCTTCCTCTCCTCATCCCCATTCTCTCCTTTTCTATCCAAATACCCAATACCTCAATACCTCAATAACCAAATCACCACAACCAAAACAACTATCCACCCATCCACCAAGTTCTCAATATCCAAAACTACTCTACTCTATACTCTATACTCTATTCATGAGGTTTGTTCTTGTGAGATGAATTAGGGAGCAGAGATTTGTTCCTTCATTCATCAGATCACATCAACACCAATCAGTTTTTTACTCTCCTCATTTACAAAGCTTACCCTTTACTAGTAGGTGTCTTTGAGATATAAGATATCACATCTCAAATCTTACACCCTACTCATTGATAGTCTTCATCGTGATGTAGTATTGATGTGTACCTGGGTAGTATTTTTGATACATGATGACACGTGAATACCCCATTTCAATTACAACTAACAGCTCCCAGGAAGAAGGCTTTGTTCATAGCCTGGGAGATAATAGATCTTTCGTGGAGATGCGAGGTAGAATGATGGGTCAGCTGGGCAGTTGGTTTTACTTTCTGAAACTTCATTGAGAGTTCATTATGGATTTTGATATATTGAGAGCCAGAAGTTGGAGTACAAGGGGCCCAAAGGGAACGGGGAGATAAGCATTTAGGTATTTGAGGGGAAGGGAAAAAACGAAAGAGGAGGCAAAAGAAGGAATATTGAATAGAGACAAGGTTGCGTTAATTTGAGAGGGGAGGGGGGTGGATGAATAGTAGGAATAGTTTAAAGAATGAAGGTGAAATGGCTGATGCAAGTAAACAAGAAGCAAACGAATATTTTCCATGCAGTATTGAGGATGATAATCATTCTGGTTCATCAGGAGTATCCTTTATCATAACCTATACCATTGAAATTGGGTTTATTGCCAACCCCTCCAACAAATGGAGCACGCGAGACCGTGGCAACATATGATTGAAGACTTCATTGTTGAATAGAAGTGAATATTTGGTCGTAAGTGAGAGGATTAGTTGTAAACATCCACTAGGTATCAAACCGCCCTCCCAATACACCGAGCCATAGCTTTCATATGATATTGTTCCATAGATGTGTGTCTCGAACACCATCTCACACACCTGTTATCTTTTCTTATTCCATGCATCCACAAATGCAATCTTATCCTTCACAGTCAATCCAACGCGCTTGACTCGTCCCAATCGTGCCAATGCTTCCCCAACTTTATCCAAGACACGTTGTTCTTCTGATGTTGTTTCTGCCGATTGATCTTTCTTAGATGTGAGAGTATCAGAGCTGCTTGTATACGCCGCATCCCCGTTAACGCTATCGAATTGATTCTTCAAGTATTTAGTGGCCTTTTCTGATTCGGACGTGGATGTGTTGTATACAACTTCAGCGATTCGGACTTTAATGCAATGTGTAGGTTTCGAAAGAAGATTCCAGAAGAATGACCAGTATTTCCCTGGGACGGGTGTCGTAATATCTGAGGGCGAATAGCGGAGACTGATTGGGAAGATTTTGGTTCCTGAAGGAGCAGTCAAAAGACTTTGGCTCACTGGTAGTATTCCTTTTCCATTTGTAGTTGTACATTCTGGGAAAACTACAATAGCACGTCCAGGATATTGAGAGAGTAGGGCGGACAAATCAGTCATTTTTGAGCCCGTGGGTGGATATTCCTTGGGACTTTGAAGTGCTCGAAAGATTGCGCCGAGAAGAGAGATTTGATGAACTTGGCGGGTATGTGGGTAGGATACTGTGAATATAGGATCGAAGATGGCAGCCAAATATAAAGAATCGATAGGTGATGTAAAGGAAGACGCGATAATATCCGAAGGTTCTGGTACTCGTCCTTCATGTTTCTTTGCCAGTGAACCTTTCTTTACTCCATCAATCTGCAAATCTATCCACCACACTCCCGGTATTCCAAGTATCATCCATAATATTGCTTTCTTGAGCAGTGATCCCAAGGGAAACCATTGTAGGAAGAGAAAATAAGTCGTGGATACTGTGAGGAAGAGTGGTAATTTGAAGAGGAAGAGAAAAAGATGAGCGGGGGCATAGATGCCGGCACTTGGAGTTTGAACGGGGAAGAACGGAGCGATACCAGATCCTGGATGATGGTTGAATTAGTTGGGATCTTCCTATTCCAGTAGATTTCATGTGGGTGTAGTGTAGTACGTACCTCTGTCGCGAAATTGGGAATATTTCTCCATGGTAGATAAATTATGTATGTGCTGGACAGTTGGATGAAGGAAAACTATTCAGAAAACTATAATATCATGACTTTGTTGATATTCCCACTACAACAGACCGTATACTGATCAGTTCAGTATATTAAGAATGTTGTCAGCAGTTTGAACAAGACAGTATCAAATACTTTCTTTGGTGGGCAAAAATAACATCTTTTTTCGCATCACACATGTGGAGGGAGTGCCAGGTACATTCACACACCCAACTAACAATAATAAGCTTATTTGACACGTGAAGAT